TTATCACTATAACATCTAATGTTTTCATAATTCGGACAAACATTTTTTCATAGCAAGTGAGTGGAAGTAACCCTGATGACAAGTGTATATAGAGAAGTAAAAAGCGAGCAAGAACAACTTTGAGGGAGGTACGAATCGGGTTGATCATCTCTCTTTACCAAACTCCCCCTTTGGAGAGGGATGGTGAGGGGTGACAACTGGCTTCTTTTTGTTTGTGACGTGTTCTTCTTCTCTCGCGGAAACGAGCGTGCAAAAGTTATTTCACTATGGGCGACGCAGTCGACTGTCAAAATAAATACAAGGAAATGGATGCCCTGTTGTAAAAATTATCACGTTTCTATTCGTTCACCCGACCAATCAGGCACTGGTTCGCGTTTGGCAGAAAATTGTATCATAAAAGTCCCTCTATTGTCTCCTCTTCCTCTTAGTTTATTATGATAGTCAGAGTCGATGTTATAATAAGAGTCCCGTCAAGAGAAAATGTGCGAACCAGCTCCACTGTTTCTGGTTTATTTTTCGTCAGAGTAAACGGCAACCAGATTTTTTTACATTAGCATCGGATGACTTTCATTTAGAAGTGAAAAATTTCATGTCGATAACGGAGCTTCTGGGAGACAAAAACAGTTATAGACCCTGAAAAAGGTTCAAACAAGTGCTTGGTATAACTTATAAATACCACAATGTACTAAATAAAGTGAAGAAATGCTTTTCATCTAAAATTACTAAAATATTGTCAGTAATGAATGCAATACTTGTAGTTCACTGGCTGTGGGAACAATGATGTTTATTTACTTTGCTTGTTTGGTAAGCCGCTTGACAGTTCGATTGGTACTTCTGGCTTCACTCTCGGCGGGACTCTTATTATAACATCGACTCTGATGATAGTGTGTCTGTGAGTGACTGACAGTACACTGTAAATGTAGAATGCCCAATATAAGGTATATACTACATAAACTACGTTGATTTCTCGCAAATAAAACCCTACCCCTCCAGGAAACATTCCTCTACATATTTGTGTCATTAATTTTCATGTGTTAGCGTTTATTCACGATAAACCGACGGCTAAAGCCATTGTTTATAAAAGCAATTACGCCCCTCTGAAATGTTGACTCTTAAATATCAATTAAGGACAGGGCATCAATGACACCTCACGCATTTTTTTTAATTTGCTACAGACAAATCTCCACATCTCGATGCGTTATTTCCATTGGCGTAACTAATGGGGATGCCAGGGGGGCCAGGCCCCCTCCAGAATTTTAGGTGTTTGTTTTTGACTCACCGGTTTTTTTCATACTTGTTAAGTTCAATGCTATTATTTAACAGTGATTAATAAAATTGGACCACCAACGAAGATTTTTTGAGAAATTATATTACACCAAATCGATGGCAATAAGACGTCTTCAGGCTCTACAAATTGGCCATGAGCCCAGGATTTTTTCTTTAACTTGTAGAAACTTCGTAAAACTTCAATTAGAAGTTCAGGGAAGATCGTAGAATTAAGTAAATTTGGTAGATATTCTGGGAAATTCATAGACCTTCAGAAAAATTCGTAGAAAAAAGGAACTTCGAAAAGTTCTGAAAACTGCGTAGAAGTAGAGAATTCATTTAAATTTGAGGAGCTTCGTAGAACTTAAAGGAACATTATTTTATTTTAGGGAAGCTCATTATTGACCGGGAACCTCTAAATAATTTCAGTTTTTTTTTAGTTTCATGGACTTGAAATAGTTGTGGAAATTCAACAGCAAACTTTGTAGAAGATTTTCGAATTTCGTAGCATTTTGAGGAGCTGTGTAAAACTTCATATAAGTGTAAGAAATTTGGAAAAAGTTCAGGGATTTTTTTACAAGATCTAAAAATAGTTCAATAAACTTCTAAGAACTTCAGAGATCTGCACCTCAGTTTAGGGAACTTCGTTGCAGTTTTTCAGAGATCTTACTCCAAAAAAGCTCCATGAACTTCTTGTAGGCTTAGGAAACTTCGCTAAATTCAAGGAACTTTCTAGGTGTTCAAGAATATTTGTAGATGTCTTAGGTGTCTTTTCAGAAGTGCAAAGATGTTCAGAGATCTTTGTAGAATTTAAAGAAATGGAAAAAATATATGGAATGTGGAATAAATTGAGGGAACTTCGTAGAAGTTGAGGATATTTTGTAATACCTAAGTTTTGTAGATGTTCAGGAAACGTTGCATAAGTTACAGGATATGCTTTCAAATATCCTTCCTAGACATCAGGAAATATTCGAAAGATCTCCATATAGTCCAACATATTAGTAAAGTTCACTGGATATTTGGTAGGTTGTAGGTTGATCAGGAAGTATTCAAAAGTTTTCCAGCTAATGGAATCAGATCGAATCTTGATGAATATAGCCATAAATTTGTACATTCTCTATAGAGAAGACCCGTGCCTTGGTGTTTTAGCTATATTGTTACAAATTTGCACTCCAGCAGCTAAATTCCGGGCAGAAATTTCAATTTCTGCATATACCTACCTAATATGTATAAATTTCTTTTTTTTTTAATATCCTTTTTTATTAGTTACAAAATCTTGAAAACATATGGGTTTGGGATCACAAAACTATTTTTATTTTAACATTAACAATGTTAAGGATTGTACATCTGCAGCATATGCATGTACGTAATTAGTGGATTTGTTAGTTATTTCGACGCTTTTTAACAATTCTTGACATTTCCCATTTTTTAAATAATTTCTTGTTAAAAATCAACAGCATTGCTATCGATGCGTAGAAATATTTCTGATCGATTGGTGATAAAATTATTGAAATTGGTCCAGGAGCAGCTGAGTTATTAACGTTCAAAATCTTTCATAATTTCGTTACATGTTCCATTTTCAGTTTTCACAAAGTGTATCCCCATATAGAAATCACTGACGTAGTCCTACGTCGAAAAAATGTGCATCTTGAACATTTTCCTACGTCCGAAATGTATTAAATTTTATTCTGTGTGCACTTTACCTTGAAACAGCCAGAATTTTATAAAATTATAAAATTCAAACTACTAGAATTTAATTTTGGTTTCTATGTCTGAGATTTGACTGCTCAATAAAAAATCTAGTTACAAAATTCATGAAATTACCTAACCCTGAGAATTTCATTAAGTTTGAGATGCTTACATTTACAAGATCCGGACTGTGATTTTATTACAAAAAAAACATGAACAAACGATCATTGCTTTTTCAAAGGTCACAATCGTTGTTATGGAATAAATATAATCAAATTTATAGTTCGTAATAGTAAGTAATAGTAATAGTAAGCCTCAATGTCATATTATTGATCACAGGAAAAAATGTACCCAAAAATAAGTTGCCTTGGACGCAGTTTGAGTGAGTTTTTAATAACCCGTAGTTTTGCAAAATTAAAAAAAGTGCAGCAGGCTCCCCTTCGGCCCCCTCCAGATAAATTTTCTAGCTACGCCAATGGTTATATCTCAAGTTCTTTCAAGGAATTTGACTCTTGGTACAGTCATTCGTCTCAGCTTCTACACATTTCGATCCCTCCCTATGTTGATGGGCCCAAGAACGCAAAGGTGAAAATATTTATAAAATTGTTTATTAGAAAAACGGGATTGAAATCAATGCCTGCATATTCCGGCAAATACGATTTTGCCGAAGGCACTGAAGTCTCATTCAATAATTATAATTAAAATTCACTTACATTCTCCTTAGAATTCCCATGTAGTTCACCACGGAATTTTATAGAAATTTTCCCCTGAATTACCTTGAAGTTTTCCTCTAAATTCTTCAGAAAACTCACTTGAAATTCTCCTTTGAATAGTCTATAAATTATTCTCGAGATGCCTTTGGAATGGATCACAGCATTCGAGCAGTTTAAATAATGTATATTACCACTCGAACTTTGCCTTGCACCTTTATTTTGATAAAATAGGGTCTTATTTATGCTCACCCTAATTTTATTATAATCTCTGGTATGTCCAAAATTGCTCGACCATGGGATGAATTCTCTTAAAATTCTTCTGAGAACTCCACGTCCGCTCAAAATTCAATTCCCTTGATAATTTTCGCGGATCCTGAGATCCTCTTCACAATCACCATGGTATTTCCCAAAGAACTTCTTAACAATTCATGATTCTACTCTGAATGCACACGATTACCTTCGAGTTCTAGTTAAAACTCTCTTAGAGCTCTTCCCAAAAATTCAATGGAAATTTTCTTTGAACTACTTCTTGAATTTATTCTGATGTCTCAAAATTCTCTTAAAAGTTAATCTAGTCCAATCCAAGGATCTCGAAAAATTTGCAAGGTCCAGAATGTTTTTTTTTTTCATTTTTCATTGAAATTTACGGGATTTTTCCGGTGATTTCAAATCTCCGGCCTTTGCCGTTTTCCCGGTTCATTAGTCACCCTGTAATATCTGTCATTTTAAAATGAATATCAGCTTTTAAATCGATGAATTTAGTTCCAAGCATAGTTGTCTTGCACATACTGAGCAAACCTCCAATAACTGCATTGAATGCTAAATGATTGCCCCTAATCACTATTTAAGCTGACGGCTACAACACTGTAATCGACTAATCGTTCCTCTTTTGATCCATAAACTAGCTCAACTCTTGAATGAAATCGCTCGAAGCGCACAATCTTGCACCTACATTATGTTTCTTGCCTATCTACACTAGTTTCTTAATTCAAATTTATTCCAACTCTGCTACAATTTTTCCGCCCTCCACTCTCAATCCCCCCCCCCCTTAAATGCCTTATGTAAATACAATCTTTTGTACACAAATTCTTTCAACCAACCTTTTAACACAACACACAGCGCCGCACCAAGCCAACCAACGCTCGTAAATTCGAATTAACCCCTAAGTAATCTTTCTTTATTGCATTTCTTTTTAATTAAACCTGAACTGATCCTGCCCGTCTGATCGCACCACCTCTACCTGTGTGCTCTTCTACTCCTTCTTCCGACCTGCCGTTGTACATACCAATGACCATCCTGCACCCACCCACCTCTGTAAATAAACACTAACAGCGACGATCGTCGTCAACGATCCGGTGGTCAACGCGAAGAACTTCACCACCGCCGAATGGCTCTTCACGGCCCGGCCCGGTCTGTTCGGCCTGGTCGGTGGTTGCGCTAATCCAACCGGACTCGCACTGTTCTTCATCCTGCTGGTGATGTTCATCTGCTCGCAGCCGTTCGTCCGACGTGGAGGCAGCTTCGAAGTATACCCTCAAACGCATGATCTATCTATATATGCTCTTTCTCAACTATCCTAGATCTTAAACTAACCAGTTCTTTCTTATCTCTCTTGGACATTTTTGTTTGTTTTTTTCCTCCCGTTGATGAATGCAATTTTGGCATGACTTTTGTACGATTCTCTAGGTTTTCTACTGGACCCATCTGCTGTACATTCCGTTCTGGATTCTGGTCATCTTCCACGGGCCTAACTTCTGGAAGTGGTTCATCGTGCCGGGATTTATCTACGTGGTTGAGCGCACCGTTAGGTAAGGATTTACTCAGATCATCTACCCTGTCAGGTTCGGAACAACACGTAATAAATCATTCACCAAAGATTAGTTTGGATGCGAACAGAGCATGGCAAGACGTACATCTCTTCCGGATTGCTGCTACCGTCCAAGGTTACGCACTTGGTCATCAAACGGCCGTTCCATTTCTGCTTCCGACCGGGCGATTATGTGTTCGTAAACATCCCAGCCATTGCCAAGTACGAGTGGCATCCATTTACGCTGAGTAGCGCACCCGAACAGGAGGACTACATCTGGCTGCACATCCGAGGTGTCGGCGAGTGGACCAATCGGCTGCATTGCTTCTTCGAACGCGAACAGGAGCGACTACACAGTGGTGAGATTCCAGCGGTCATTGCCGGCTGTTCGACAGCACCAAGTTCTTCGTCCAGCAGCGAAGTGGTTCAGGAGAAGCCCAAAGAAGTTCCGCTGAAGTTTTCTGCGGGACTACCGAAGAGTGCGAGCGTGGAGTCTCCGTTGGCGAAGAGTAAGGAGCAGACGTTTGATAAACCCTTGGTTAACAAACGAATGCCTCCGGGAACTTCCAAATTGGCTATGGAGAGCTACACAGCGCCACCGCCGAGTGCTCCACCCAAGTTCGACAGGCAGCTATCGGAGAATAAGGCCATCAAAAAGATTCAGGCTACGCTGCAACGAACATTCTCCAGGAAGGATCAATTACGCGGCAGTGGAGTTTCTAACGAAGGCTTCACTGGAGATGACGGATTGGAAGAACCGAAACGCAAGGTCACGCCGGAGCACAATCTTCACAAGCTGCTGTTCCAACAGAAGGTCCCACTGGAGAAGTCACTGTCTATGCCCGATATGCAGAACAAGGTCAAGAAACGAGAGCGAATGATGGTGTAAGTATGCCCTCAGTTACTGGTATGATTCTCGAAACTAATATTCTCATTCTATTTCAGACTCCGCGAATACATGCGTTCCGAATCCGAGCGATCCTTCGACGAAGTTCAGATTCGCAAAGCTCGTCTCCAGTCGCTGGGTCTTGCCTACCTTAGCCCGCAGAACAAATCCCTGGCCCAAAGCTTCCGTTATATGCGAAATAAGCCCACCATCATTGCCTTCAAGACTCCCAGCCTTGAGAACTGTGAACCACGGGACTCTACCAATTCAATGGTCGTATCCCCTGGAGTTTTCACCGAGAAGGAAGCTGAAGAGGGCAAGATCGTCCATAGCAGCGGACTCCACAAACCAGGAGCCACCGACGAAGATAAACTTCAGCGACCAGTTAACTATCCGGTGGGCAAACCTTTGGAAATCTACATCGACGGTCCGTATGGAGCCCCATCAAGTCACATCTTCCAAGCGCAGCACGCCATCCTTATAGCAACCGGCATCGGTGTAACGCCATTCGCATCGATCCTGCAGTCCATTATGCATCGCTACTGGAAGGCTCGCCATTGCTGTCCACGATGCAACTATGAATGGTCCAGCGAGATCCCGCCAACGATCATGAACCTCCGGAAGGTGGACTTTTTCTGGATCAACCGGGATCAACGTTCGTTCGAGTGGTTCGTGAACCTGCTGTCACAGCTGGAAATCGAACAAGCCGAACTGGGAGGAGCTATGGAACGGTTCCTCGAGATGCACATGTACATCACCAGTGCCCTTCAGAAATCCGACATGAAGGCCGTCGGACTGCAGCTTGCGTTGGATTTACTCCATCAAAAGGTATAGTTAACAATCTCAAACACAGATGTCCTTTCAAAAAAGACATTTCCCTATTATTGATGAGATTGGATGTTGCCTCAGCGAAAACCAGATGTCGCCCTACTCACTAATTCTCTTTCTCACCGACAGGAAAAGCGCGATCTCATTACAGGGCTAAAGACGCGCACCAACGCTGGCCGACCGAACTGGGACAAAGTGTTCAAACAGATCCAGGACCAGAAGAAGGGCAAAGTGACCGTATTCTACTGCGGACCGCCACAGTTGGCCAAAACCTTGCGCTACAAGTGCGACCAGTTCGGTTTTCAGTTCCGCAAGGAGGTCTTCTAGAAGACACCACCGTCGAGCGAAAACACGTTCTGGAGTGTTGATTTGAATTTGAATATTTTTAATTAATTGTATGCCTTAATGTTATTTAAATTTGTTTTCCGTACTCTGTAAATTATTGACCTTTGTATTCGTTAATCTAATTCCAGCACTGTCATTGTAATAAACTCATTTAATTTATTGATGAACTCGATTCTTCCATGCAAATAAAATCAACTTCAATCTTTGTGGTACTCGCTTTTATTATACAACTAATCAACAACAAAAGTTCCCTCTAAGGTTTCTTAGGTTGACTCGGAAACTGCTTCAGCACCTTGTTCAGTTGCTTGTAGTTCAGGTCCTTACCCGGAACTAGAATACCTTTGCTGGAAGTTTCCTTCTTAACTACCTTCTTGTCGATATACACCTTGTAGCATTTTTTGAATGTGGACACTTCCTTCGGACAGAGATCCTCGTTGAATTCGTTTGCTTTGAGGCAGGAAAACATAACGGCCATCTCCTGCAAGCATGCAACATCGCTGCCCTTATCGGTTTTCCCGCTGACTTGGTTCTTCAGCCGGAGAGGTAGTATTTCCTGGAAAGGAACCTGTTTTTCGAGCTGAGGCAACCGAGCCTTTAGTAGGGTGGCCGTGGTTCGCATAGTGTCTGGAACGAGCTGAAAGGAATTGAAAGAAACGTAAGAAGTGGTAATGTGGGATATACGCTCGTTTAGGTCTAAGTAGTAAAAAATAGCATAAGATATGTGTAAACTCTTTGTCTGACCTGTACAAGAACAAACAATACCTACTGAGCCAAGAATTCATTAATCAATGATATTACAGTCTTCTCATAAGAAAATCATATTAAGTGTTTTTTTTTAATAAGAGCTTGCCAAAACTAGAATACAACATTCGAAAAAAATTACTTCCTCGAAATTCAACCAAAATGTTTAAGACAGATAGCAGATTCTGGAAATTGAACTTCAACTAAACAAGCCCCTGGAACATTGTTACTAAATATTGCAGTGCTAAGCTTTAGACTACACTAAACTTACTTATTTTCCGGAATAAAACACCCAAAAATCACGTTAAGTAATCTCCGTTCTTTGCCGAGCGGGTGGCGAGGCGACGGACGGACTGTTTTGTTATTGTTGAAATCTGACAGTTGCGCACATGAGCGTCGATCAGCTGAAAGGGGCACCTCATACGTCTGCGGCTGGGCACAATCGAGCGATTTCGAACTAGCATGGCAATGCCGTTTTCAATATTTCGAAGCGATTTGAACACTGTAAGAAAAATTTACCCAGCGTCTATTGGCGTCTTGCAGTGAAACTTTTACACACAGCAAAAAAAATGTAATATAGATCAATGTAATTCAAGCTGATGTATGAAATAATGATGTAATAGCAAAAAGCAGATACAATATTACATCAATGGATGTAATTTTGTTCGCAAAATCGATGTACGTCGTACGTTATATTACACAAACGATGGATTGACCTAGTTGCAGCAGTTTGGATGTAATATTCAACAACTTTTTTTTGTGTATTTCGGTATGGATCGGAGATGTTTTCATGGAAAATTATGCATAACATTTTTGCACCCACAGGTAGAGGTGCAGGCAGAGGTGCTCCTGCGCAGCTGCATTTTTCCACTAGGATGAAAGTGGAAATTAAGTGAATTTACTTAGGAAAGATTATATCATGCTGGTGATAATGGAGAAATGGTTGTATAGGACGCCAATTTTCAATAAATGTTCATTTTGGCCTTTTTTAAGCAAACATATTGATACTCACAATTTTCGATGGAAAACGCAATGGAACTTGATTTACTCAACACGCATCATACTATAAAATGGTGCTCGATGGCTTATAAAGTGTTAACAAGATGACAAATCATCTTTATTTTAAGTAATTGAGCAATTTACTTCTGTTTACATCATACGTACGATGCAGCATTGATGAATATCTTATGAAAGTTCATCTGGAAAAGTCAAAGATGCACATCAGTCTGATCGTGAAAACATTTTCTTCTTCAATTCGAATGTTATATTAGAAGGATTTTACGCAGGCTTGATAAAAATTATGATTTAATGCAAATTTTCACGAATTTTATATGCAGTCTGTCAACATTATCATCATCATGCAGTGGCGACATGCATTTGATGACTATATGAGGCTGTCAAATAATGGGTGAAGTTCAATTTCAAATAATGGGTACTCTTTTACCCATTTCTCAGAGCGCTTCGGGCGAGAATAATGAGTACTTTTTTACTCATTAATGGGTGAAAAGCAACTTAGATAACATCTTCCAGTCCTCGCTTCAGTCGCAAAGTGTCTTAACGATGTCGAATGGAAATTGCTCGTTTGAAAAGTAGGTATTTCTTATTTTATTTCTTTCTGCCCACATCTAAACATCAATCTGAAACTTGCAGGGACAGAACTAGCCGGATCAGCAAGGAGATCCCAGGAGAGCTTTGGGAGCACCATTTCTTGCACGAACGATGGAAAGACCACTGGATGGAAAATGGTGAAATAAAGATATAAATATAAATAACGTTTTGTATTCTTAACTATTCATTGTGGCTCTTTCAATGATCCATAAATCATACAAATTCTAAAAGAAAAATCCTGGTTTAAGGATTTCAAAATTGGGTACTTTGTACCCATTTTATAAAGAAAAATTATTATTTAAAAATGGGTAAAAAAGTACCCCATGATTTGACGTACAAGGTCTTTACCCATTAATGGGTAAAGACGTTTTACCCATTAAATGAGTTTACCTACTTTACTTCGAAATGGGCACTTTTTCACCCATTAATGGGTACTTTCCAGTTACAGTGCAATTGTCTGTTCGAGTCACAAAACACGATTTTTTCACTCTCATTGCATTCTACTCGAAACACGTGTAAAAATAATTTTGCAAAATATTTGCAATTTTGCAAACAATTCTTAATAACTTATTTGTGAACAATTATATGGTTTTCCAAGTATGAATTAGATTGAAAATGATTTTGAGACGTGTTTAAATTCAAATGGTACACCTTTTTTGTTTCCAAATGTGTTAAACTCAATAGCGTTCTAGGCGTGAAATAACCAAAAAGTTCGATGTTTTTCGTCAGCGTACTATCAAAGTGCGACTCAAAATAGTCCCAAAAATCCAGTCACCACTGCAACAGACAATAAAAATGTCAAAACATCTCTTCATTGCGAAGTTTTTGACAGTACTGGACCTGTGTTTCCCGCAAAATTGGACATGCGAAACAAACAAACAAAACTAATGTCGTTTTCGTTTTTGCGGTGTAGCACTGGTGTAGTGTAAGCAGGAATAAGCGCGAGCCTTTGACAGCTCAACATCATTTGTTTGTAAACAAAGGAGCATCATATATCTACACCCTAAAATATTTCGGTGTACGGCAGTGTAGCACCGGTGTAGCTACACCGCAAAAACGAAAACGACATAAAGCAGCTGTGAGAATTAGCATTAGAAGCAGCAGTTTCTTGAACTTTCCCATATTTTCATCCACCGGTGCGCTTGTTTCTCTTCTGTAAGATACGAATAATAAGATGGAGACATCCGTGTTGATGCCATGAAGTGGAAGGATCGGAAGGATACTCCAGCTGCGGGATTTGGAGGTAAGTTGATGAAATTTTCGAAGAGTTTGCTTGCTTCCGATTTTCCTAATTGATATGTTTTGATTTTCAGCAGTCTCGTCAGACATGCCGGAAAGGAAGGCTACTCCCACCATCACCATCACCAACTGACGAGTCAACTGTATATTTGCGTAAAACGCTTCCCATGCTTCAAAGTTCTATAATGACGTGCCCTTTCAGTCAGCATCGAAAATATAAATAAAATATATTAAATTAAATATTTCTATGGTTCATTTTTTTCAAAGTAAAAAGCAATTGAATTAAAAAGAATTCATATTTGAGATGAAACCGTAAATCATTGCGATAAAAATGCCCATCTTTTAAATTAAATCCTTTCATGAGTCTATTTAACAAAATAGGTTTTTATGTTGACAGTTCTACAATTCGATTTGAAAGTTTCAACTTTTAAAAGTAAAAAATAAGTTACTTTTGAATTGACAGTTAGCTGACTTTTGTTTTGAAAGCTAAAGACTTTCTACCAAAAAGAACCAACGAAAACTTTTAATTTTACCAATGGTTTTTTTTCAATTTTACTAGCGATATTTTTTTGTGTGTACCTCACCGTGTAAAATTTTGAAACCATCATCACACTCATAGTTCATCTATTCTCCACGAGTACCAACTTTGATTTGCCAACCCTAATAAAAATAACCATAAAAGAGAGCTTAACGACGTGTTCGGGGTATCATTCAAACCATTTGTGGGATAGTTTTCCCATCCGGGATACAGTTCGTTTATGGTATTTGTTTATTAGGGAATTGGCAAATCAAAGTTGGCACTCGTGGAGAATAGAAGAACTAAGAGAGTGATGATGGTTTCAAAATATTCCACGGAGAAGTATACGAGTGCAATCTTAAAATGCTTTTATTTTGAAAATGGAGCATTGAATTTAAATCTGGTTGTTGCTACAGTTGTAGAAAAGCTGAAATCTATGCATACACCTAAAAATCTGAAAAGAAATTAATTTTTCTATTTTATATATCTACTGAGTAGTCCTTATGTTTTCTACTAACGCAGTATTAACCAGATTTAAATAAAATGCTCAATTTGCAAAATAAAGGCATTTTAAGATTGAACTCGTATACCTCTCCGTGTAAAATTTTGAAACCATCACTTTCATAGTTCATCTATTCTCCACGAGTGCCAATTTTGATTTGCCAATGCTTCACGGTGAAAATGTCCACCCTCATCACTCTTTTGAGGGTTCCCCTATCCACCGCCAGAGGCTGAAACAATCGCTTAGTTGCTGTTGTATTCGCCTTTAGCGCTTTGTGGCGGGTCTCTTTAAGTTTTCGGCAAAGGGTGTTGTGGAAGAGATATGCTGGAACGAAATAAAGTTAAAGCGTCGAATGCTAAATATTTTCACACTTTCAATCAAAGGAGGTTGGTAAGTACTCTGTTGAAATTATGATTTATTAACTTTTATTTCGTTCCAGCATATCTCTTCCACATTTTCACTCGACAGACTTTGCGGCGAACGGTTGTTTGTTTCTCGCGGTCGCGGTTTTAACAAACAAAATGGCTGGAAGGTAGGGTAGAGAACTACTTCAGCCTAATCGCCCATTTTGGGCCTATCGAGCAAAAAACTTCAAATAAATCCATGATTTCAGAGTTAACAAGTCAATTATGCGTTTGGTACGATACTTTAGTTAATAAGCTACGGAACGAAGTCAATGAGAACGCGTGATCTGAAGGTTTGCACCCATTATTCCCAAAAACAAAAGAAGCGCTCCGACCGGATCCATTTTTATTTTCATCCGATAGGCCGAAGTGAATTCATTGCGTTTCAATGCGTTAGGCCGAGTTTAGAATCCGTAGGCCGAGTTTGGCGTCAAGAAGCAGTGTTAGACTTTTGACAATATCTGAACGATTGGTTTCTCTTTATCAAATCTTACGGTACGTACGGAAAGGTAAATAAATGTGGAAGCCATCAGTAGCAATAACATTCCGTTTGGTGCTAAACTGCGCTAGATTGAGAAAGACTAAGTGCGGGTTGTGCTTAATAGGACGGAAATGGGGTAGTTAACGCTACCACAGGTGTGTTCTCTAATTTTGAAAAATATATCGGTTTGTAATCTTAAAGAGTATCGATATTTTTTTCCTAGTCCATATATTTGCATCGCGATTATAAGGCTGTGATGTATCCGTTGAATTTGGTCAGCACCTGGTCATACCGAGGGTCATACAGTTTTCGGGATCGCGTTATGTTTTGCTCCTCCGGTTCGGTCACTTAATAGCCCGATAATTGAAGACACCTTCCCGTATGCGTATATTTCGAACTTCACTGCTAATAGCACCGAGTTTGTTGGCCACATCTTGTTGGCGCACAGACGGCGGTGTTGGCCACTTTTCTGTCAAACGTGAACGAGCGCCTGATTGGTCGGGCGAACGTATAGAAACGCGAGAATTTTTACAGCAGAGAATTTATTTTCTTGTACTGCGCGTTTCACACCAAATTGGACTAATAAGCGCGTTTTCATTTATTAAAAAGTGTGATAAACCTTTACAAGTTTACGTCTAATCGTCTTGGTGTCTTCGGTGCACTTATTCCTTATGATGCAAGCAATAAGTGCTCCGAAGACATCAAAACGATTTGACGGAAACGTGCACTTTTATCACACTTCTGGCATTTTTGGGACAGTTCAGTTTCAGATGCAATCAGCAATATTTTGATGAAATAGTTTTTGCACGCTCGTTTCCGCGAGAGAAGAACAACACGTCACAGGCAAAAAGAAGCCAGTTCTCTCCTCTTCCTCTTAGGATTTAATGGGAAATACATTGTAAATTGTCTGTCAAAAGATTCCAAAACTGTCCACTAGAATCGCTGTACCGGACAAAAAGAAGCGTACCGATTCTAAATTGGCAGGGCTTTAGTGGTCCTCTACAATCAACTCTCTATGTGAATTCGGACGACATTTCTAAAGAATTTTTACTACTACCTTATCTGACTCATAACGAATATATGTTGCATTCGGGGGAGCATGAACTAGTTTAATTTTGCTTTTCATATGCTATGTTAAATTAGACGAAGTATATGTTGTATCCGGGGCCGGCTTGGACTACGTGTATTTGTTATAGGCGAGGTTATAGGTCAGGTAACACACTTTAGAGAAAAAACGTGACTTCAGTGACTAAATGTTAACACTTTAGTGACTGTTGGGTGCAAAAAGTGAATTTTTAACTATTTTAAATAAGCGCGATTACATTAGATAAAATTACCATCTCAGCGCTCCCATGTTTGTATGGGAGCGAGCTGTCAATTACTTAGTTTAGTGTTAACAAGCGAGGTTATTATTTTGATTTTGTTTGAATTTTTGATTTAAAAATCGGATGAAATATGGGATTGAATAAAATATCGTTGTGGTCAGAAAGCGAAGCTCTTTCAGGTGATGCATAAAAAACGGTATATTTTACTAAATTAAACAACCAATAGGCCGTTGACTACTTTTCAAGATATCCTGAAATCAAAATTATGACTTAAACCACGGAAAATTAAGAACTATCTGGCAAGGTTGCAAATACTCATTTCAGCTAAAACATTTTTTTTTAATTATGAGATAATTAGATGCTATGATCATATTTTGAATTGGTAAGATACAAGAAGAGGTTGCAAAGAATGTGTTTCACATATTAAACCTGTTTATTTCACTTCATGAGAGTCACAATCAGCGATTTTTCACACACTCACTCACTCACTCACTCAGCGATCAGCAAATCGCTGATTGTGACTCATAGAAAGCAAAATTTACAGGTTTTATGTTTCAAACGCATACTTTGTAACCTCTTCTTGTAAGTTACAAGTAAAACATGTCATCATACCACCATCTTTTGGTTTTATTATTCCGAAAAACATTATTTTAGCTGAAATGAGTCTTTGCAACCTTGCAGTATCTGGAAATAAATTGACATTCTTATTCAACCACACAATTAAACAAGACGCATTATTTGGAGTTGGTACACTTTGAATCTATTGGATTGCTGATAATATTTCAAAAATCCTTTTAAATTTACTTGTCCAGGTTTTCAAAAAAAAAAACTAGGATTTGTAGTTCCTAAGAATTTAAAAGTTTGCAAATCGAGTTGCACGGAACATCCGAAAACCAAACTGCAGATCGTTCCTACCATCCAAATACGATGAAGGAACAAGGTCCAGGAAGTTTCGAAGCTTTCAACGTGGCAAACATGTTCATAAAATAAAACTCATTCTACATGCATTTCGCGTCAGTTGCAATCCCTTACAAATAAATCTCGTCCTCAAAATAGTTATAATCTTCCTCGATAAGATCGTTCCCGTTTCCGTACTCCAGAGATTCGTGCTTCGCTCGAACGTGCTTTGTGAGTTCACCATTGGTCTTGTAGTTGGAACCGCACATGGTACACTCGAAGGGACGGCCCTCCGAGTGAGTCACCACGTGGGCCGACAGATACCTTGGCCGGGCGAAAACCTTTCCACAGATCCCACATTCGTACCTTCCTTCACCCTCGTGGATAGCCATGTGCTCCTTGTAGCTGAACAACCTCCGGAACATTTTCGAACAAATGTCACACTGGAACGGCTTCTCGCCCGTGTGGACCGTTTCGTGCTGCTTCAGTTGATTCGCAAAGGCAAACTTCTTGTCACACAGATCGCACTCATATACCGCCTGGTGCTTGGTCCGCTTGTGCACATACATCGCACCGTACGTTTGGGCCACGTAGTCGCACCCTTCAAAGGGACACTTTTTGTCCTTCAAAACGGGAGGCTTCACGGGGGCTTTGGTCTGAGCTAACTGCCCGCATTTGCTCGTCGTGTGGTGCTTCTTCATTTCGTCTCTCGTGTAGCAGACAAAATCACACCAACGACACTTTCGCTTACCCTTCAGATGTATCGACTCATGCGACCGTAATTCGTGAACATTTTTAAACACATTGCCGCACTCTTCACAGGTCAGGATACGTGTGTGGATCTGCTCATGGCGACTCAAACGGTGCCTCGTGCCAAAAACCTGTAACGAAATTTTTCGTTTTACTACGCCAATCAACCAAATCCCTCCCAGTTCGTTACCTTGTCACATTTATTGCATTGAAACGACCCTTTCTGGACGTGTTCGTGCCGACGCAGATGGTTAAGGAAAGTTTTTTGAACTGGAAATGTTTTACCACATATCTTACACTCGAACAGACCATCCGCATTGGTTACACTTTTGATCACCCTTTTCTTCTTTGCCACCTTCGGTACCTTCCGCCGCTTTGGCTTTGGCAGCTCTTCGTCGTCTTCTTCTTCGCGTTCACCTTCATCAAACCAAATCGGGTCCTGGGATTCATCAGTTTCTTCACAACTGACCGCTGCCGCTTCCTCTAAATCATCAGCATCCCGATCGGATTTTTCCCACGGCTTATCGTCATCATCTATCCATTCCTCTTCTACTTTTGTTACCAAGACAGACAAAACTTCCGGATCTAAACTGTCCTTTGCTTTTCCCTCATCTTCCTCCAGTTCTTTCTTCACAAAGGCAACACTTTGCTGAGATTCTTCGCTCTGTTCGAATTCGCTATCTACGTCGTTTGGTTCGTTCAGTGCATCTCCAGAATCCATGCTGTTTTCCTCAACAATCATCTCAAATTGATCCTCTTCCGATTGATCTTCCTCATCGAACCTTTCGATCTCAATTATATCGTCCAGCTGTTCCACTACCAATTCTGCTACTTCCTCAATCGGATCGTCCTCGGGTGGTAGCTCAACGATCGCTTTCAACATTTCCTTCTCGTTGCGAACCGTAATTAACGCGGACGTGGAAAGTGCAGGTGGCGTCAGTTTCTTCAACACATCTTCCGAGTACGGTTCCTTTGCGGCATCCTCGGTCCGCTGGAACCCATCCAGTTGCTCAACGAGGGCTCCTTTCCAGCAGAAGCTTCTCAGCAGCTCCTCCTGTTTGCGGAATTCCTGGGCGATGTTGTAAGCCAGATCCAGCTTCGTTAGGCATCGTTCACATATCACCCGTGGAAGCTGCTCCAGCACGTTCAACAGCGTTCCGGATACCTTCCAGAGCATTTCCGGTATCATGGTACCGTTGAATTCACTTGTCATCGGTAGGAGGGGCAGCTTCCGGAGCAAGCAAATGCGACAGAAATCGTCCAACTTTGATGGTGGGGCTGAGTTTGGGAAGAGAATTTACCCCCCGATTAGGATACTATGTAGAGCGAATATGAAACTTTAAAAGCAGTACCTGAATTTCTTTGGGCGTCTGAGGGTGGTGCCGGAGGCACTATTTCGGTTTCCATCTTGAACACTTGTATAAACAAACAGCAAACGGCCGAAATTGGAACAAAAATCTGAATTAATTTGATAAAATTCTCCTAGAAAATCCAAGCGTTGAGAAAAAATTGTTTACAGACTGAGTTTAACAACAAACGAACAACTTGTCAAACAAGTGTCAATGTTTGACTTGCTTGGCTTGTTGGGCACAAGAAGATGTTCGACCCACAGCGAGGACTCTCATCATCATCATCGAAAAAAAAAACAACGCGGGAGGTCAGCCCCCAAATGACCTGTCACAACAGCAAACAAAAAACGCGCATGTTTTTGTTTTGAAGCACTCGTTTTTTTTAATACTGCGAGCACGTTTCGGTCGTTCCGTTGCATTAAAATAATGGTTAAAACCAAACGGAAGCTCCCTGCTCCGGTTCCGACTCCAGCTCCAACCCGACAGGCAGACAACGAGGCCGATGACAGTGGATCAGATTACGATGTGGAACGTTACATGCAGCCGACGAAGGTAGCGAAAACCGTGGCAGAACAGTTCCCCCTACCGAAGCAGGTGCGGAAGGATGTGGTGAAACGATCGGCCCGGGACGAACCGGAAGAGGAGGAATCGAGCGAGGACGATGATGATGGAGATTTGCCCACGTTGACCAAGAAACAAATCGAGGGTATTCTGCAGACGATCAAGAACAACAAACGGTTGGTTTTGAATATTTCAAACGTTAACTTTTCGACGGCCAAGGAGGAAATCGAGGAGCACTTTCGCAAGGCTGGTCGAGTGAAAAGCGTCCGGATACCGAAGCGACGGTCGTCCGGTTTTGCGTTCGTTGAGATGTTGAATCCGGATGGATTTCAGGTGTGGAGCGGATTCTTATTTAAATAGCTTGTTAGTTGGGTGCTTTGACGAAATTTTTTATGTTTTTACAGAAAGCATTTCTTCTGGATGGGAGTTTCCTGGACGGTCGGCAGATAAAGGTCCAACTGTCAGAGAGTGGGAAGAAGAAATCCCATCAGAAGATTCTACAGCTGGAAAGGAAAAATGCCGAGATCAGGAAAATGAGGAAGAAGAACCGCGTCAAACCGGAAGCGACGGAAGTGACCCTGGTGCCGAAGGTGCTACCGAAGGTCGTTGAACGTGATCCCTATCTGGACAAGCCGAAAACTAAGCCGCCAACCAAGAAGGAGATCAAGGCACACAACAAAAAGGTTTCGTTAAAGGCTAAGTTTAGGAATGTGGCAATGAAAGGAATAAATGTTTGATTAGCTCTAGATTAGATTCCAAGGCTATTTGTATTGTTATTCCCGAAAAACGGGCTCCTTCGTTTTCACCACAATTTCCTGCGAGTGCCGGTCCTTTTCGTGTTTCTTCCTGCCACGAGAATCGAAAAAAGTCATTTCGCAAAATCCACACCGATACGGCTGTTCCTTGGTGTGAATCCTCTCGTGTACGACGCAATTCACTTTCTGGATGAAGCCCTTTCCGCAAAATCGACAAAAGTGGTTCTTCTGTCCCCGATGGATGTCTTCGTGCTGATCCAAGCGAGTTTTGATGGCGAAGGTTTTGTCGCAGAAGGTGCACGGGTAGCGATTGAACGAAGGCGCTCCCCGATGTACAACTTCCTCGTGCTCCTGGAGTGCTGAATTGCTGGAAAATTGCCGGGAACACGATTCACAGCGGAATTTGCCGAGATGACGAGTGTTTCTATGGTACGCTAGTTGGCCGTAATTGCCACCGACGAATGCGCAATCTTCCTCTAGACATGCATAATCGATTTGATCCTTGGTGGCTTTGGGATTGTGTACTCTGAAACTAGGATCGTCGGGAAAGTGCTCGGCCATGTGGTATCTAAGGGAAGTTGCGTTTACAAAACCCTTCGGACAGTGCTCGCATTGGTGGATCTTGTTGCCGGCCACGTGTAGTAGCTTATGCTGTCGGAAGTTGTACTCGTGGTTAAAGCGTTTGCCGCAGTACTGACACTCGAAGGGACACTCTCCGGTGTGTGTCCGAACATGACGACGCAAAGAAGCTTTGGTAGTGAAGATTTTACCGCAATGGTCACACTTGAAGCGTTGCTCCTCGGCGGTTCGGTGCTTGAGCACGTGGGCGAGGAAGGTACGCTTCTTGTCGAAGACATTTCCACACGTTTCGCACGTGAATCCATTCTTATGAAAGCCCCGATGAGTCCAACGAACGTGCGAACGTCGACTGTACAACGAGGGGAATTTAAGCGGACAGTTCGGGCACGGGTATGGGAAGAGATGAGTTTTCAAATGCTGGTTCAATGAGATGATTCCTTTGGAAATGATGGGATTCGTTTTGGTGCTGCATTGTTCGCATTTGTGAGGTAGCATTCCAGCGTGGGTGGCCAGGTGTTCTTCCAGCACCTGTTCCGAGGCGAAAGCGTGATTACAGATGTAACAACTGTTGGGAATCAGGTCTAGCGTTGGAACTTCTTCCGTCGGTTTGGGATCCTTATTCTGCTCCTCTTTGGGTTTGACCAGTTCAGTCCACGAAAAGATGTAGTTTTGCTTCTCTTTCGGTGCTAATGGTTCAGAATCGTTGAGAGTTATAGGAATATCCTTATCAGCATTACTTTCAAGAGTTGCTTCATCATTCCAGATTTCCTCGTATTCGAGTTTGCCCGGATCTTGCTCGATCAGATGCTCTTCCACAATGCAGTCCACTTCGGCGTCTCCCGTCACAACTATTCCAAGATCCTGAAATGCTCCATCAGCATCAATAACCTGTCGATCGACTAACGCTTCCCTGTTGTTTCGCAATATTGATTCGGAATAGCTCTCCGCCTCTTCCTCTGGCGGTTCCATCGCAAACTCTTCGTAGTATTTGAGCAATCGATTTTCCTGCTCTAGCGCTCGCAGCTTTTCCGCGTTTAGCTGAAACTCCCGTCGAACGTTGAATGCAAAATCCACCTTCGTCATACACCGGGAGCATATTCTACTGGGAAGAAGCCGGTTGTTCTCGATTCGGAGTCCACTTACTAGATGAATGATTTCCATCATTTCCATGTTGTGAATCTTGGAACTTAATGGAAAAAGTGTTCGATGCTTCCGGAAGCAGATGCGGCAAAAGTGATCTTTCAACATTAGATTGGATTCATTTTCGTTTCCCTGTTCATCATCACCGCAAATTGACGGAATCGCTGAAATCGGTAAATAGAACCTTAACATTGATGAAAATGAACCATTAACGGAAAATGTACCTCCGTCCACCGGGAAAATTATCCCGTCGTCACTCCGGTGAATTTCGTATGGTAGAAAATGATCCGAACACACGGATTTGGTCTTCCAACGGAAGCGCCGATCGGGATCGGATATCCCAAGCGACATGAGCCACTGTTCACGAAGCGCCTCGTCCGCTGGAAACGGTACGAAGCTTACGCCGGGATCCGAAGGTGTGTGATTGCCGGAGCTGTTGCGGCAGATGGCCACGCAACAGCCAGACATGCTGGACATCGTTCTATAGTGGATTTGTGTTGATTATATTATAATTGTAATTACATTTTATTATTTTGTCAAACGTAATCCTGGGGGATGAGCCAGTCGCTTTTGTCCAGTAAACTGGCCGTCGATTTCTTGCGAATAAAATTTGCGATCAACAAGAGTGCGACACGTTAGCCCGTTTGATAGGGCTGGCAGAAAGCATGAAAATTTGAAGTGTTTTTTTTCTGAATCAAAACAAAACAAAATTCATCGCTAGAAGTTCATGCATCAAAATGAAATGAACTCACCGTCAACAGTTTCTGTCGTTTCAGTGGTTCCAGTGAGTTTCAGTGGACTTTGTGTTTTGATTTGTCCTCTCGTCCAATAAGAAAGGCCAAATTAAATTTTAATTGTATTTAATACCCACTATTAATTACAAAAACGTATTTTTTAATACTTGTAACGTTTTCGTATCAAAATGGATCATTCGGAAAGAAATATTTTTCAAGGTAAGCAACACATTATTTACTTGCAATCGTCTGGTTTTTGTTGACCCCGCTTAAATTTTCCCATTCACATCCGCATCATCGCATACATAGTAAAACAAGAACCACCGGAAAACGACGATGCGACACCACTGCAGAACTACCAACCTACGTTTCCAGCAAATGTCCGACTGCTGGACCAATTCTGTCGTCTATGCTTGCGCCAACGTCCGGACCTGCTTCCGCTGCTCTCTCGCATCCAAGACATCTCAGTTCCGGAAATGTTCCGTGTGATTACCGGTCTGGAAGTGACTCTCGAAGACACCTTTCCCCTCAAAACATGCCGCACTTGTATGACTATGTTAGATTACGCATTCGGCATCCGACGGAATTTCACGGAAAGCTACCGAATCCTGAAGACGTTTGCCTTATCGAAAACCCGGCCCCTGATAGATAATTTGAGCAATTACCAAAATGGAGCGCGAGCGACGAGTGAAACGCTTGCCGAGAAGATGCTCCGGGGGTGCCGCGATCTTGCGGATCGAAGAATGTCTGTAGAACCGGACAAGACCGTACCCAAGCTGTTGCCATGCGTCAGCATTCCTTTGCCAAAGGAGACAGCCAAGCCTCCAGTTCAGATCAAACAAGAACCGGAGCTCATTTTGGAACCGGAAGAACTTCCTCATCCCGCAGTTACCGTAACAGAAGCGATAATGGATAATGTTGAATCGCCGATGAAGAAGTCTGTGAAGAAGCGTAAAATTGCGGTTACATCCAACTCCGAAAAGCGACAGAAAAATCGCTACGACTTCAAAACCAAACGGAGCAAGCTCGATCCGAACAAGTGCTACATCTGTGACCAAGTTTGTGAAGACGCCAAAGACCTCCAAGTTCATCTCCCGCTACATGTGGATATGATTCCCTACCAGTGTGGCGAATGTACAAAGGAAAATGGCCAGCTACTAAAAGTCACATCGTTGATTCTGCTGCACAAGCACTTTCGGATGCATGCCAGTGCCATCAAATGCCCCAAGTGCCCATACCGAATGTGCACCATGGCGGCCCTGTACGGACACATGCAGATCTACCACGGACAGAATACCCAGACGGAGTACACGTGCGAGTTATGCGGGGTCAAGTTGGTGAACAAGACCACCTTGGACAGGCATATGCGCTTTCATAAGGCCTTGGACGAAGGACGGTACACGTGTTCGTACTGTGATAGAAAATTCGCCACCAAACCGCACCTAACTCGTCACGAACGGTGCCATACCAATGAGCGGCCGTATCAGTGCAAATTTTGCACCAAGAGCTATAAAACACAGAGCGTTATGATTCGGCACGAGCGGACCCATACGGGCGAAAAGGGCTTCCATTGTGACGTCTGTGATAAGAGCTATCGACTGCGAACTTCACTGAACAAACACTTTTCCAAAATCCATACAAAATCCAAAGAAGCGGACGGTCCCGTTCTGACCTGCGACCTCGAAGGATGCGATTTCAGTACTACGAAGAAGGTCAAATACTACCAGCACAAGGCGAAACACGAATTGAAGTTTCAATGCTCACAGTGCTCGCAGCGGTTTCCGAATGGCCAACGGCTGAAAGTGCACCAGTACGTTCACACGGGAATAAAGAACTTCCACTGCGAGCAGTGCGACAAAAGCTTCCGATCCAAGGTTGGTTCTTTATAGAATTGACTTAAAACTAACGGGGCTAACTTATGCGCGTTAATATTTCAGCTAAGCTTGGACGAACACGTGGCAGGGCACAATAACGAGCGGCCGTATTCTTGCGAAACCTGTGGAATGACCTTCGTTCGCGAGCGAACTTTAAAACAGCACCGATTGAAACATTCCACTCAGTTATCTTTTGAGTACTACCTTGAGTGAATTTTTTCATTGAAATCATCGTAGACTAACACAATGTTCTGCTTTTTTAGGTGCCGACATTGCGGCATGAAATTCAGATACCGCGCCGATCAGTCCCGGCACGAGAGGACCCATATGGAAGCTGCTATGAAGCTGATCGATTCGAAGACAGATATTCGTGGAGAAGCCGTTACCGTAAAAGAGGAAACCATTGACTGAAAATAAGTAAAGCTCCAATAACTTGGTAACATGTGGAACTTTTTGGATGACATATCACATGGAAACTATCAACTATTACGTATCGATCGTTGGAAAGCCAAAAATATGGAACTTAGTTTAGTCTTGGTTTATTTACTTGATTCTGATGTGTCTGTGTTAAGGAAGAAAGGTATCTAATCCACTTCAACCTTTGTTACTTCATACTCAAATTTCTTTCCGATGTCATCCACTACCTCGATTTCATATTCCGGCTCTGATTGCCCATCTTCCTCAGCACATTCTTCAATTTCCACCGCATCCTCCTCCGTCTGCACCTGTCCTGGGCCTTCCTCCTTCTTTCTCCCGCTATGCATCGAAGCCTGATGTCTTCGAACCAGATTCGGCTCGGCAAAGCGCTTCCCACAATCTCCGCACGCGTACCGTTTCAGATGCCGGGCCTTGTGACGAGATATCGACGTGCTGCTGTAGGTCTCGTACTTGCATCCTTCATATTTGCACTGGAACATCTTCCGTCCATCCTGTGTTATTATAAACGGATTCCGATCCACCTTCAACGCCGGCGTCCGTCCCATATGGAACCGTTCCTGGTGCTTCCTCAGCGTCACACTGTCCCGAAAACTCCTCCCACAATCCTCGCATCGATGGCACCGTTCGTTCGTGTGGATTCTCTTGTGCGTTAACAGATTGCAAGCCCTGCTGAAACGTTTCGAGCAGTACGGACAGGAGAAATTCTTCTCACCCGTATGCTTCCGTTTGTGACGCGCCAGCAGCAAGCTGGAACCACACGTTTCTTCACAAACATCACATCGATACTTGCCGTTCGCTTTGTACTTGTGGCGTCGAACGTGAGCCTGGAACGATCGCTTCTGGTTGAAACTTTTACCACAATAATCGCACGTCAGTCCCTCCGTATTGGCCATGTGCATACTCCAAATGTGAGTGTACTGGCTTCCGCTGGAAATGAATCGCCGGAAACACATGGTGCATTTGTACGGCAATCGATGCATCAACCGGTGACGGTTCAGCGTAATCACACTTTTAGAAACGACGGGCTCATTGTCGGTGCTGCATGTCTCGCAACGATGCGGAACCATGCTGATGTGGGCGTTTAAATGCTCGTCCCGCTCTTCCAGACTTTGATGCGCCGTATCACAGATATAGCACGTCGTTTGGGGAAACTGTGCCAACAGTTGGGCATCTGCCTTCGCCTTCCGATTTATTCCGCTTAAAGCAGTTTTAGGTCGCTCCTTCTTCTTGCGCTTTGGTTTGACTAGGTCCTTCCACGAGTAAACAAATTGTTCAGTCTTCACTTCGGTTGGCTCACTTACATCCTGATTCTGATCATCCATCGTTGGTTCTTCCAATTCTTCGTCAAGGCATTCAAACTGCTCAAATTCTACTATATCCACCTTTTCCTCCACTTCCTCAATCTCCTCTGGCAAATTTGCAACTTCCATCACCTCTTCCTTCCCGGAAAAATCCATTTTCGTTTCCAGCACATTCCTGCTATCCTTCAGTAGCTCATCCACATAGGTCCCGCGATCATTGTCACTCCCAAACTGAGCGTAGTATCCGGCAAGCTTATTCTCTACAGCCATCTTGAGCAGCAGCTCCGAGCTGTTTAGAAACTCCTGCCGTACATTATAGGCGAAATCCAGCTTGGTCATACAGTTGGTGCAGATCTTCGTGGGAAACAGTGGATTTGCCTCCAGCTCCACTCCGGTCACCATCAGTAGCATTTCCATCACAGTGATGTGTTCCATTTGTGCCACCAGCGGAAGCAGAAAGCTTTCCGATTTTTTCAGACAAACCCGGCAGAAGCGTTTCCGCGAGGCGAGAACCGATGCCGGGTAGGTTGGTTCACTGGAGATCATTACTGAAGAAAATAATGGTAAACATTTTCGATAAGAATTCGGCAAAAAAAATGGAAGCTATTACTTACTATCTGTTTGATAATCCTCATCAATGTAGTATGTTGGTTCATCCTCCGAAGTAGCTGAGTCGCCAGTGGCGAGCATTTTTGCAATAATATCAAATATTTTCGCGAGATTTCTTCCGATTCTACTTTTTGTTTATTCGAGAAAAATAAACAATCGCTTGTGATACACGGCCAATGAGATCAACCCAATTTGAGTTCAGTTACTCATAAATCGCAAAAACATGAACACTGCCAATGAGAATTCCCCAAAGTTGAGTTTTGTTTAGTCGTAATCGCCAAAAGAGCAGGAACAAAGCGATGAGTAAATTTGCCTCATGTTTTCAGTAGAAAACCTCTAAAATATCAATGACGTTTATGTAAGGTCTGCGCCAAAGGGCTTATTGGTGTTAGTGAAATGTGCAAATGTTTAGTGGTGTTCGTATTTTATTGCAATGTTTATCTTTTTACACGAAACAGCTGTTGCCAGTGACGTATTTCTACCTGTTCTCAGTATGTTGGCAGTGACGTATTTCTATCTGTTCGGAGATGTTCAGCAATGTTTACAACATTTTTGCTTCTAACACCACCTGTTGGCCCAGACCTTATATAAATTTCATTGCTAAAATATGCCGGAAAATGAGGAAAATTTACGAAAATTTTACTCAGTCTAGGAGTAGTACCAATTAGGTTTTGCACCGTCGGGGTTAACATCAATCTGATGACAGTTCAGTGGTACTGTTTACGTGGACTTAGTCGATTTTTTCTTGGGTAGATTTTCTCGATAATTTTTCAGACTGCAGTGAGATGTAAACCACATTTCTGCAATGTTCACGAGCAACATCCTTGTAATGCGCTGTTCCTCGACAATTTTCATGTTAAATTTCGGAATTTTTTGGATTTTTTTTCTTTCGAAAAAACGACTAAGTGCTTGTAAACAGTACCACTGAACTGTCAAAAAGGTTCAGCCGATTAACACTGAGTTCATTTATGACGTCACAAATTTTAAGATGCCCTAATGTTACACGGCGAATGAGAACGACCCAAATTTGAGTCTAGTTCACTCATAATCGCCAAAAGTGAAGGAACAAAGCGATGAGTAAATTTGTCTCATAGTTTCCTGTGGAAAACCTAAAAAATCTGCCGGAAAATGAGGAAATTGACGAAAATTTCATCCAGTCTCGGAGTAGTACCAATAGACTGAGTGAATCCAATCTTTACTTTTCTCAAATTCAGGAATTTTTCCCTGGAAAATCCTGGGAAAACATGAGACAAATTTTACTCATCGCTGAGTTCCTGCACTTTTGGCGGTTATGAGTGAACTATACTCAAATTTGGGTTGTTCTCATTCGCCGTGTAAAGAAACCAAGGAGGGCTAACCTCGCGTCTATTTGTTTTGAGTTCTCCTTCGTCACGTCATGGCAACAAAACAGCAACACTCGCATCAGCTGTGATCAATATTTAAAAATTCGAAAAAAAAATTGCTAAAATCTGCGAAATTAACATTTTTGTGCAACTTCCCAAAACCTATTAGGATGGAGGAGGTTTTAGAGGAAGTGTTATACAGTAAGTTGGCTATTGCAATTAGCGTATAATGAACATGATATTATCTTGATTCCTTTTCATTAGTCAAACCAGAACCCGAAGAGCCGGTGGACTATCCCCTTCCAGAGCTGGAAGTTGTCGCCGGTCCGTTGGATATTGAAATTCCAACATGCAATCAGCAAGTGAACCAGTACTGCCGGTTATGTTTACGTGACAAGGGCTCCCTGTTCCCGATTATGTCACGCGTGCAGACCATTATGCTTCCCGATATGATCGCAGCCGTCACAGGTATCTGCATCAATCCGCGGGATAATCTACCGAAAAAGGTGTGCATTCACTGTGTGGTAAAGTTAGATTATGCATACCATATCCGGTTAGAGTTTACTGAGAGTTACCGGGTGCTGAAGAATTTGAACAGCTCCAAACTATATTCGCTATGGGACTCGCTGCGGGATTTTCAGAATGGGGTGCTTGCGAAAACTGAGACTCGATCTGAGAAGCTTCTGCGGCAGAATCGGAACATAGTACGGACTAGATTGATTAAGAAGGAAGAAGAGTTGACCGACATGATCGGTGAGGAGTTGATTGAAACATGTGATGTAGAGGAACGCAAAGTGGTGCAGACTCCCGAAGATGAACTTGAAATGATTTTGGATCCGAAAGAGTCTCTAAACGAAATGTCGCAAATAGATTGTAAAGAGGAAGCTGAACACGATGATCCGAAGGAGATGGAATCGATAAATAGTGACGGATGGGAACCGGAAGATGTGGATTCTATAGCTCACTCTAGAACTGAAAAGAAGAAAGACGCTCAAGTGGCAAATTCCGATAAACTAAGAACAATACTTAACTACAAGGTGGAAATAAAAGAGACCAAGCTGGACCCGAAGAAATGCTACATTTGTAAAACAGACTTTGCGAACCCGAACGATTTGGAGGTCCACCTGCCTGAGCATGCCCACATGGTACCTTATGATTGCGAGGAATGTAAAGCCACCCGTACGGAAGCGAAGACCATTTTTACGGTCATTATGCTCCATCGCCACTTTCGGATGCACGCAGGTTCAATCAAGTGTCCGGAATGTGCCTTCCGGACATACACGAGCCATGGACTGTATGGACACATTAAAAGGTACCACATGGAAAATACAAACACAGTGTACACCTGTGAGGTTTGCGGGGCGAATGTTAAGAATATAAAAGCATTCGAAGTTCATTCACGAATGCACAAAGCCATAGAAGAAGGACGGTACACGTGTTCTTTCTGTGCTAAAAAGTTTGCTACGAAAACACGATTGGAACGACACGAACGGATCCATACCAACGAGAGGCCTTACCAGTGTCGGTACTGCAGCAAGGTTAGTTATTTAGTAGTGACCGTTTAAATCAATTATAATTGCTCACCGAATTTTTACAATTTCTAGGCGTTTACAAATGAAACATCTTTCCAGGCACATGAGCGTTCTCATACCGGTGAACGGGGTTATCGTTGTGAAGAGTGCGGGAAAGGCTTTCGCACCAGAACATCCCTGAGCATGCATCTGGGTATGATACACAAGATAGGAGGTGTAAGTTCAAATCCGTTCAAAGGTGTAAGGTCAGGTTCTGACAACAAAGAGAAGTATGTTCTCTATGAAAACCCGGTGAAATGTTCGTACGAGGGTTGTGACTTCGAAACAAATGTCCGTTCAAAGTATTACAGTCACAAGGCAAAGCATGATTTGAGGTTTAACTGCTCGCATTGCGAGCAGCGGTTTCCCACTAAGCAACGATTGGATCTGCACTCGTACGTCCATACCGAGTTGAAATCATTCTGCTGCGATGTATGTGGGAAGAGCTTTCGGTATCGGGTTAGTAGGATACTTTTACGTTCCTATTTTGTCATTTGTATAGGTACATGTTCTATGATTATTGCAGGCAAGTTTCGTCGAGCACATGGCTGGCCACAGCAACATTCGACCGTATGCTTGCACAGTTTGCGGCATGTCATTTGTTCGTGACCGGAATTTGAAGGAGCACATGTTGAAGCACTCAGATGAATTGACATATGCGTGCGTGTTGTTGGCCTATAGGGAGATAATCATTCTGTATGAAAAAGGTAATTCATGTTGTTTTGCAGGTGTCGTCATTGTGGCAAGAAGTTCCGATATCGAGCTGATTTATCCAAGCACGAGAGGACCCACGTTGCGGGAGAATTAGTGACCAAAGAGGAGGTAGTGGTGGATTTTGAGTCTCATGGTGGGATGGATGTGATTGTGGAGGAGTACGATGAGGATGGTGAGATGGTGGAATATCTAGATGACTAGGGTAAAATTTGTGGGATACATTTTTATTGCGAAAATACACCAGTTCAATTATTGCCTGCTAAGACAAAAACCGTAAGGTTTCACGCTAGTCCATGCTAGCGAACTTCGGTATTGTGTTTTAGCGACAATATGTGCTTCATTGAGATGACATTCTGGACCCTTCCATTTGGTACTTTTTGATCTTGTTTTGTTTCTTTGTTCCGCTTGGCTCTGGTCGCTATATTTTATTAAATTGGTTCCGCTTTTTGATGGATCGAAATTCTATCCGAAATTCAAACAAAGTGCATAATCAATATGTTCCGCAAACAAATTCTAGTAACTATTCGAGCACCAATCTGAAAATGATGTCGAATTTTGACGAAGGACTACGTCTTTAATTTCTATACTGGGGGTCAAATTAAAAAAAAATTCAGACATGTAACGAAAAATCCCAAACACGGACGTAACGATAGAGCGCAAATCGAACACACGATTGCTCGGTTGACCGCTCACCATTTCACCAATCAAAGTGAATAATGAAAACGTTTCCCAAATCGTTTTCTTCGTAATTTACTTTCGAGCAACGGATGGATAAGAGTCGGACACGACGTATGAGTGGAACAGCATGTATCGCACCAATGCGAAGACGACGACGAATGCACCCACATCCATCGGATGAAAGGTTTCCCGAAATAGGCAGCATGACTGGACCGCCGTCATCCGGTGGGCATCGACTTGCACTGGTGTGAAAGAGCCAAGTAGCGCTAGTTGTTCTTTCACAACAATCCAATTCAATGCTGGCCGTAGCACGTCTTAGTCTGGTGTGAATGCTGCCATATACTTGCAACCAGGAACGCTCCAGTCCGTAGTAAAAACGTTGCATCACTTCTGATCGGCCACAGATGCGTCATGAGATGCACCGCTGTGGGTCATCATCGTTAAGTGCGTTGCGCGTTACACCGTTACCATCATCGACGTCGTGAAACAATGTCATCTGTGTACCAGGTTCAGGGCCACCAATTGAAATACAGAAGGAGCTAAGATTATCTATCCATTAAATGAACTAAATGCTCAACATATTTGTTCCGTCCACTAGCGATCCTACGTCAACCTTCCGTTCGTGCCCCTAGACACAGACCCTTCTGCTTTTCTTTTAAATGCTATAACTCCAATTCTTGTTATCCGTCTATTTTCACCTATTCTCATCAGTTATTCAAAATGTACATAAAATAGACTACAATTACTCAAAATATCTCGGAGATGTATTGAGATATTTGGATTTGAATCAAATTTATTTTAATTAATCAATCATATTATTTTGTTTATGAATTGCAGCAAAACTTTTGTGATTGTTTCGTGAACAATTATGATTGGAAAATTTCCTCACAATACGGTCGATTTTCAGAAGTAAAATTACACATGTTAAGGCTTAATTAAACTTTATTATAAGGAAATTGTTGATTGTGTCGGGTAAGAATACATTAATTCTAACCAATTGGTAAATAGCAGGATTATTTCATGTTTACCGTGAATCGCCAGTAATCTGAACTTTCATGTATATTGACGGAGTTCATTTTTAATTTGAACTTCTAGTAGCCCTATGAGCATCAAAAAAGTGTATTTCTGGTAGCCTTATTTGCTGTTTTGTTTTTATTCTGCGTTCATGTCTTACATGTCTGAATTTTTATTTTTTTTAATTTGACCCCCAGTATAGAAATTAAAGACGTAGTCCTACATCAAAATTTCGACATCATTTTCAGATTGGTGCTCGACTAGTTACTAGAATTTGTTTGTTTGTTGGTAATACCAACAATCAATACGAAACTAACGATTTTAAATTGGCTCACCACTTTAGTAGCCTATTGGTCCCAAGCAAACGATTAACGTACCCTATTCTAGTTGAAATTCTATTACTACACTATGTTTGTTTTGATTCGCTATGAAAGTTTGACAGATAACATCAGGGGTGTGTGGATTCATGCAGAACATGCAGGGGTGAGTGAAATAGCTTGGGACTGCTTGGGACCGTTGTTCTGGTACTGAGTGAGCCAAAAATAATAATGATTTTCTTCGGGACCCAGTGGTCTTAGAGTTACCTCTATGGGTATACAGCGTCGAGGGCGGCTACAACGCTGGCTGAATTCGTGATGAGCACGATGGGCTATTAGACGGCGTTGTGATGGCGACGTAGGCTGCAGCTGCCTCAGCAGAGAAAAAAAAGTGGAACGCTTCACGATTTTGCGTGTCATCCTTGCGCAGGGCCATGCTAATCTTCTCTGTATCGTTCCAATTTTAGTATATGTCCAGCCGAAGCTAGGACATAATCGATCTTTCCTTTACCGATTTGTTTAGAACTGCGTACTGGGTCAAGAAATTGTAAAGGAAATATTCCCCCTTATTCTGCGAGTCACGTGACTCTCTGTCACCGGTGAGGTGACAATTGTCACCTCGTGTGAGGTGACTCTCCATGTAAATCAAATGGAGAGTCATCTCACACGAGGTGACTATTGTCACCTCACCGGTGAGAGAGAGTCACGTGACTCGCAGAATAAGAGGGAATATCTTTAGCATTTCGTAGCTCGTAGAAACGTCATTATTTCCCAGCTGCGTACCAGGCTTTAGATTGATTGCAATGTATTTAATGTTGAAAACCTTGTGTGCTTTATCATGAGTGATCACGGATCTGGCAATTCTCACATGACTATGCTTCCCGGCGACGACGACTACGATCTAGCCGGTTTACAATAGGTTTTATACAAGAGTACCTAAGAGTACTAGAATAGATCGGAGTATACTTGCAGTTTTCGACGTTCACATGTACTCCTTGTTAACCTTCAATCCTACTTCTTTTTCTTGTTGTATTGTGTTTCTAGATATGCCACTTTCATCATCCCTCTGACAAAAGATAATGGATCCTCGCTCCGGAATGTCTTCAAAACTGGGGGGATTAAAATCGCTCCTCGTGCACAACCCTTCCAGATGACAGTCCGCTCAGCATCCGAAAGAGCGCTCGGTCCCTAATACATTTGATATATGGATCAACAATAGAAAAGGGCCTATCAGCATTTGTAAACAAACCGTTCCAAAGTCCTTTACTCACAAAGCGAAGGCCACCCACACAAACCAACACCATCATCGGATAGGGGAAACTTCTACCTATACGATGATGGTGTTGGTTTGTGTGAGCGGCCTTCGATTTGTGAGGAATGGGCTTTGGAACGGTTTGTTTACAAATGCTGATGGGCCCTTTTCTATTGTTGATATATCTTAAAATAGCATCTGCAGCGCTCGCGATAGCATTGCAAAAACCAATAAAACAGAAAAAAAACCTAATTTTAGGTAAAAAGTAACGTTACAAAATAGGTAAATATTTACGTTAACGATTCTCAACCACCAATACCTAATTTTACGTTATCGATGTTTACCGATAATTGAGGTTCTTTAGGATAACTTTTGTTCGATTATCGTTATTTTTTACCGACTTTTAGGTATTCCTGTCTAAGCGTGCAGGTACTCAGCGCTGAGTTTCTGCAGTTTTTAGAAATTTCTCCATACCTCTGAGTAGAAGCGACGCTCTCTCTGAGTTATTCTCAATGGCCGTGTAGAAGAGAGTGCTGCCGGATTTTCTATCCGCCAGGCTTATATATAGAGATTGCTAAAGTATGATTGTGTAAGTGATTTGTTTTCATCGGGAAAATTTTCCGCTATGAAGTTTTTTTTCCCGATGAAAACATTTTGCGTATACGTATACGTGACGCACACTACGTACGACAAACGTCAGCAATCTCTATATATGAATAATCGCTCCAAACCTAAAAAACAACAACATAAATAACACTCGCGTCGCATCAGCTGTGATTAAAAATCGCAAATTTTTGGTAGAATCCGTGATAAATTCAAATTTTTTGTTCAACTTCTCTATAGTTGTCAGGATGGATAACGTTTTGTATGGTAAGTTGATTGATGCTAACGTAAATGACGGCTTCGGCAAGTGCTTTACTTTTATGCCTTTAACTCCACCAACTTCAAAAAGGCATCCCTAATAAAAATTGTATGGTTAATTTGCTTAACGACGTGTTCTGGGTATCATCCAAACCATTTATGGAATAGTTCAATGATTTGGGTTATCGTTCGTTTATGGTTATTTTTTATTAGGGATGATTCATATTTCAAAATTTTGGATGAGGTATGGGATTGACATTTAGAAATGATTGTATTTTCAGAGTGATTTGAAATTTTAGCGTAATTTATTTTGTAAAGAAACACGTCAATCACCGATTTTTCGCCAATAAAAGTTCAATCTCGTAAACAATAGATGATAGAGAAATCAATTATCTAACTGATTGTGTTATTATATTTCGAGATTGAGCTTTTATTAGGGATAAATCGATGATTACGCCAATTGTTTACCAAAGCAATTGCTCTCAAATCACTCCGGATTTGCCAATTAAAAATTTTAGCTTCCCATGGTAGCACAGGGGCCTTATTACGGGTGTCACTACACGATTATAAGGAAGTGATACTCAGAATAAGAGCCGTGATTACCATACAAATCAAATAAGAATCACTTCACCGTGACGACAAGTGACAAGTTTTCACCGTGAAGTGACATCCGTAATAAGCCCCCAGGTGATCTATAACTTTTCGGTCCGTCTCATGATTGTCAATCTACCATAAATAGTCAGTACTTATTTAAACTTCTTCGTGTGCTCATTATTCTTGTCCATATTTTCTTGAGAATTCAACTAAGCCGTGATTACCATACAAATCAAATAAGAATCACTTCACCGTGACGACAAGTGACAAGTTTTCACCGTGAAGTGACATCCGTAATAAGCCCCCAGGTGATCTATAACTTTTCGGTCCGTCTCATGATTGTCAATCTACCATAAATAGTCAGTACTTATTTAAACTTCTTCGTGTGCTCATTATTCTTGTCCATATGTTCTTGAGAATTCAACTGAGCAACTTTTGAAACTCAATTAAAATACTATTGATTTGAAACAAAAACTTTCTACGTTCAAATTGTATCGGTATATCTCGAATACTTGATCACCCAGCAGCCAAGATTTCAGAATGTTTCCTGAAAAGGAACACTGAAGGACTTTATTTAACCCCCTGACGATAATAGGTATTGTCGAAGCCGTCAATTATTACCGTATTTGCATAAATCGAAAATAATTTGACTCTTAATTTTTAGTGAAACCTGAACCCGAGGATCCGGTGGAAAATTCTCTTTCAGAATTACAGGATCAGCAGAGCGGAGTGCTTCTTACGGCTAAGATGTGGCCTGAAAATGAACAGTTGGAGGATGTGATCGGTGAAGAGTTGATCGGAACGTGTGATGTAGAAGAACCCAAAGTGGAACCGATATCAGAAGACGAACTTGAAATAGGCTTGAATCCGGAAAACTGTCTAAATGAAATGCCGCTAACAGAATGTAAAGAGGAAACAGAACTCGACGATCCGAAAGAGGAATCTGCTGAATCGAAAAAAATTCACGGACGGAAACCAGAAGGGAAATCTGATAAACAATTAAAACCTGACAAAAAGAAACGCGTCCAAGCGATAAATTCCAAGAAATTAAAACAAATACTTAACTACAAGGTCGAAATAAAGGAGACCAAGCTTGATCCAAACAAATGCTACATCTGTAAAACAGACTTTGCGAATCTGAATGATGTGGAGGTCCACCTGTCTGAACACGTCCACATGGTACCTTATGACTGCGAAGAATGCAAGGCCACCCGCACGGAGGCGAAGACCATTTTTACGGTGATTATGCTCCATCACCACTTCAGGATGCACGCAGGTTCAATCAAGTGTCCGGAATGTGCTTTTCGAACATGCACGAGAAGCGGATTGCATAAACACATTAAATGGAGCCACATGGAAAACACAAACACAGTGTACACATGTGAGATTTGTGGTGCGAAAGTTAAAAATATAATGGTATTCGAAAATCATTCACAAATGCACAAAGCCATAGAAGAAGGACGATACACGTGTTCTTTCTGTGCGAAAAGGTTTGCTACGAACGCACGACTGCAAAATCACGAACGGATCCATACCAACGAGAGGCCTTACCAGTGTCGTTACTGTAGCAAGGTAAACTAGTTTGTAGTCACAGTTTAAATCAATTATAATTGTTCATTGAATTACTACAATTTCTAGGCGTTTACAAACAAACAAGTTTTCCGGGCACATGAGCGTTTTCATACCAGTGAACGGGGCTATCGTTGTGAAGAGTGTGGGAAAGGCTTTCCCACCAGAACATCCCTGACCACGCATCTGGGTATGATACACAAGCTAGGAAGTGCAAGTCAGGTTTCTTCAGGTTCAGGTAATAACGAGAAGTATCTTCTCTTCGAAACTCCGATGAAATGTTCGTACGAGGGTTGTGACTTCGAAACAAATGTCCGTTCAAAGCATTACAGACACAAAGCGAAGCATGATTTGAAGTTTCACTGCCCACATTGCGAACAGAGGTTTGCTACCAGACATCTAATGATTCAGCACTCGTACGTCCATACCAACTTAAAACCATACTGCTGCGATGTATGTGGGAAGAGATTCCGGAATCGGGTTAGTAGGATACTTTGCCGTTTTTATTTGTTTCATTTTTGATAAACATTCAATGATTTTTCCAGGGAGGCTTGGGCGAGCATATGGCTGGCCACAGTAACATTCGACCGTATTCTTGCACAGTTTGTGGCAAATTATTTGCTCATGAACGAAATTTGAATCAGCACTCGATCGTCCATACCGAGTTAAAATCATACTGCTGCGATGTATGTGGGAAGAGCTATCGGTATCGGGTTAGTAGGATGCTTCTCCGTCATAGGTACCTAATTTGTTTCATTTTTATAAATTTTCTATTATTATTGCAGAGAAGCTTGGTCGAGCATATGGCTGGCCACAACAACATTCGACCGTATTCTTGCACAGTTTGCGGCAAGTCATTTGTTCGAGACCGTAATTTGAAGCGGCACATGTTAAAGCACTCGGATGAATTGACATAAAAGTGCGTGTTATTTGCATTGGTAGATAATCATTCTGTATAGGAAGGCAATTTATATTGTTTTGCAGGTGTCTAATGAAAAGAAGTTCTAATATTATGCTGATTTTTACAAGCACGAGAGAACTATAAGGACCATACCCCTTTAATTCATTGGAATTAATCTTATCGTCAGACTATTTTCCACAGAGATGGCGCTGTTCCACTGGTAGGAAGTAATAAAAATCCCGATACAGAAATTGAGAGAAGTGGTAACTAATTCGCTTTCGAAGCATATTCAGGCCAAACAAAAAGTGAACGACAACCTAAAGAAATTAGTCAGGGACTTTGTCGTTTAGTTTTTCCCGGATATTATTATTAAACAAGCTACAATTAAATAAAACCAGTATTTTCCCATACATTTCTTACCCATCTTTACTTCATGTCGCAAGAGCGCCATTCAAATCCAAGAGCGAACATTTCAGCACCGACAAACCGACATGAATGTCCATAACAAAAACAATAAAATTTCTGGCCAAAGCACACACCTGCCATCTGGCGGGAAATATTTAGCGAAGCCACGAACCTGCTTGCAAAAATTATGAATTGGTTCGTGTCTGATCCAGTCTGGAAATATTATCTAGATAAAAAAAAATCCTATGGTTTTGACAGTTCGGATCACTGCACATTTGAATTAACCGTTTACGATTTTCGGGCATAAGTCAGAATTAAGTGCCATGTCGATTTGTCGGTGGTTCAAGGTTCAACTTTGTCTACTTTCTAAATTCAAGCTGAACATTGCATTAGGTCCTAAGAAACCGTTAATTGTTAACAGAGGGCAGGGCAGAGGGCCAAAACATGAAGTACCTCTATATATGCAGTTAGATTAACGCCCCTGGATGGGAAATGTAATTAGGGTTACAACATTTTTTCATGGCTAGATTATATATTTTTTAGGCTGTGAAAGGGAAATCTCATATCGTGTGGCATCAATACACATGACATGTTGAGAGATTGAGCTCGTGAGAGAAAATCAGACGTAACATTTGATAACGGCACAAAAGCATTTGTAAACAAACTTTTTAAGGCCCTTTACACGCGAACCGAAGTACACTCACGCAAACCAACAACATTATCGGATAGGAGCAACTCTCACCTTTCCGAAAGTGGTATTGGTTTGCGTGGGCGTACTTTGGTTCGCGTGTAAAGGGCCTTAGAAAGTTTGTTTACAAATGCTTTTGTGTCGTTATAAAATGTTACGCCTGAAATCACCGACAAACCGGCATGACACTTAATTCTAACTTATGCCCGAAAATCATAGACGGCCGATTTAAATGTGCAGTGATCCGAACTGTCAAAACCATAGGATTTTTTATCTAGATAAAAATAATTAGTTCAGAAAAGATCAGACACGATCCAATCCATAACTTTTGCATGCGGGTTCATGGCTTAGCTAAATATTTCCCGCGAACACGGAGCCAGATGTCAGTAGTGTGCTTTGGTCAAAAATTTTACTGGTTTTGCCGCGTTTTGGTTCGCGTGTAAAGGGCCTTAGAAAGTTTTTTTTACAAATGCTTTTGTGCCGTTATCAAATGTTATGCCTGATATATGTGTTGGTGCGCAGACCACTGATAATGTTTGCGAAAAATCGGATATAAGGTACCTTCTCTTCAAGGTATTTTGCGGCGTTTTTTTTCATGAAGTTGAACGTATGATTAGTGAAACAACTCACTTATACTATAACGATGCCAGAGAAGTCCACACCGAAAATAGTTTTCATGTAGCTTCCTTTGTAAACGCACATGATTTTCATCCATAATCAAATTCAATGAAATTCATCTATGCGATCACATTAACTTTATGTAATTTTTCACATGAATTTCATCGGCCTCATAATATTCATGTGATTTTGTGGTGGGATTTGCTGCTATGTGATCATAGGAAATCTATGTGAAATTCACATGGATTTCATCCATTAGATATGTGATAAATTTTTTGAGTGTGCAAGAGATCTCCACGCACAATCTCACAAATACTAAAGTCAAACATAGAATGGGTTGTTAGAACTAAAGTGCCTGAATTTATAAAGAGACGACATATCAAAATTGGAACAATCGATTATCTGTCAAAGTCATAAGAAAAGTCATTCCAATCGAGCAGAAGACCTGTCAAATGGATAAGATGTCACCTCTTTATAAATTCAGGCTCTTTAGTTAGAACCATACCATTCAAAGCTATAGATTTCCCCATACATTTTCGGAAAGGGAACCATAGTAGAACCTTTTTATGTATGGTTTGAGAACATTAATGGAACATTATGGTAGTCAGTATGGTCAATGTATGTTTTTTTTTTAAATATTGGTCAACTTTATGTGGAATGAGGTTAAACAACCCAATTGGGTTCTTTAATTTTGAAAAATTTACCGTTTTTTAAACATCATCTGAAAGAACTTCGTTTTCTGAGCAAAGCGATATTTTTTTTTCGAACCCACACACTTTCATCACAAACGAAGTGACAGACGGAGCGGCTCGAAAACTTTGGTGACTAACCTGCTATTGCAATTTTTCAGTGTACCACATGGCAACACCACTACTACTGGATTGTACCACATGGCAACACTACTACCAACAATCAATACGAAACTAACGATTTTAAATTGGCTCACCACTTTAGTAGCCTATTGGTCCTAAGCGAGGTCCCAAGCAAACGATTAACGTACCCTATTCTAGTTGAAATTCTATTACTACACTATGTTTGTTTTGATTCGCTATGAAAGTTTGACAGATAACATCAGGGGTATGTGGATTCATGCAGAACATGCAGGGGTGAGAGAAATAGCTTGGGACTGCTTGGGACCGTTGTTCTGGTACTGAGTGAGCCAAAAATAATAATGATTTTCTTCGGGACCCAGTGGTCTTAGAGTTACCTCTATGCTACTACTAGATTGAACTAGCATTTTCACCAAATGTACTAGAATGTTTTGGTTCAATCTCTTTCACTCTACTCAAAACTGAAATGCATAAAAAATGACAAAATGATACGAACTCTTTGCACACTGTCAAAGAATCATTGTACACAAAATCAACTTTGTTCAAATCAAAACAAAAAAACTAACCTATCTGGTGGATGATGGCACAAGCTTCCAAGAAAATTCTATTACAGTGAACCACATTATTTAAATGGATTTCTTCGCCAGTTAGTCGTCTGTCACTTCGTTTGTGCTTTAATCCTCGCTTTTATCTCGATTTTTAAACCAAGATTTAAGGTGATACTCTAAGGAAGCCTTAGCGTGAAACTTTAAAGGCACAAATGTCAGCTTCCATAAAACATACAAATTTGAAATTGCTACTCCTTGTTTGCTGTGCTACTACAAACATAGAGTAGCAATTTCAAATTTGTATGTTTTGTGGAAGCTGACATTTGTGCCTTTGAAGTTTCACGCTAAGGCTTCCTTAGAGTATTACGTATTACCTATTAGCTAAATAATAACTTCACTGTTTGACACTAAACTAACAAACTGACAGCTAGCTCCCATAAAAAGTGACATCGAAGGGCGCTAACAAGGTGATTTTTGCAAATGTTACCGTATTTATTTGAAATAGTTTCAGTATACCACAATTAATGAAATTTTGGGTTTGGGCTCCATTCTTAATGCAGATTAAGAATATGCATTTTCCTCAATACCCTTAAAGAACCCAATTGTCAATAAGTTCGATTACATTAGCAAAAATCTAGACCAACCATTGAAATAGGTGGAACAACCAAACGTAAACAATGGCTTTAAACACAAAAATCTCGAAAATCAAAACACTTCCACACAAACTAACAATGCCAGTCGATAAAGGAAGTTTGATCTATCAGATGATGATGTTAGATTTCTTGGATGTGCTTTGATTCTCGAGGAATCTGCGAATAAAACCATTTTTTTACGTTTGGTTGTTCCGCCTATTTCAATTGTTGGTCTAGAAATCAAAGTCTTATCTTAGCACCCCTCGCTGGGCCTTTTTATGAAAGTCAGCTGTCAATTTGTTAGTTTAGTGTCAAACGTGAAGTTATAGTCCTCTCCGAGCGAGATGTTTTTAAGACAGGTGGGCAGGAACTCACGGTCTCCCAGTGTTGGTGAGTTCTTTGCCGTTAATGTTGACGAAAAGTTCACTATTTTGCTACACAGAAATTCAAAACCATTTTTTTTTATCTGCGGATTTCGACAGTTTTTGACCTGTTTCATACGACCGGAAGGTGTATGCTGGTCACAAATGCCGTGCCAAACTGATTTCCTACGCAATTAATCAATCTTTGATGTGAATTTCGCTAATAAACACGAGGAGCATTTCTTATAGCAAAACTTGCCATAACAAAAAGGGCGGTTCATTTTAGTAAACAAACTAACACTTCTTCCCACTGTATCACCTCTCTTACTCGCCTAGCTCTCCATGCGGGTTCGTATTGGTGCGATTTACGTGTGTTAGTGAGATGAAATTTTTTGCTAGCTGTGAGAATTTTTTTGTTTGCTGTAAGAACTGTCATTCTTAAGTAAAAATAAACAACAAAACGAAAACAAACCCTACGCTTGCACGGTAACAGTCAAATACTCTTTTATGAGTAAAAGTTAACCCATTTTTAATAAAAGTGGCTTTACTCATTAATGCCTCACACGGTAACCAGCGTAAACACGGCGAATGAGAACGACCCAAATTTGAGTTTAGTTCACTCATCATCGCCAAAAGTGCAGGAACTCAGCGATGAGTAAAATTTGTCTCATGGTTTCCTGTGGAAAACCTAAAAAAATGTGCCGGAAAATAAGGAAACTGAAGAAAATTTTATTCAGTCTCGGAGTAGTACCAACAATCAATACGAAACTAACGATTTTAAATTGGCTCACCACTTTAGTAGCCTATTGGTCCCAAGCAAACGATTAACGTACCCTATTCTAGTTGAAATTCTATTACTACACTATGTTTGTTTTGATTCGCTATGAAAGTTTGACAGATAACATCAGGGGTGTGTGGATTCATGCAGAACATGCAGGGGTGAGTGAAATAGCTTGGGACTGCTTGGGACCGTTGTTCTGGTACTGAGTGAGCCAAAAATAATAATGATTTTCTTCGGGACCCAGTGGTCTTAGAGTTACCTCTATGGTAGTACCATAGAGGTAACTCTAAGACTAGAAGGTCCCGAAATAACTTGCTCAACTTTTTGGCTCAGCTCTGGTACTCTCTTCGGTCCCAAGCTAATCGATTCACCCCTCGAAACATAGGAAAAACCAATAACCCCTCATTTTATCTGTCAAACTTTCATAGCGAATCAAAACAAACATTGCGTAGTACTAGAATTTCGACTAGAATGGGGTACGTTAATCGTTTGCTTGGGACCAATAGGCTAGTCAAGTAGTGAGCCAATTTAAAATCGTTAGTTTCGTATTGATTGTTGGTAGTACCAATAGATTGTTAAGAGATGAACTAGCCCCAGGCTAAAAATCTCTATAATAAAGACTAAAAAAAAAAAAAAAAAAGTACCAATAGACTGAGTGAATCCAATCTTTACTTTTCTCAAATTCGGGAATTTTTCCCTGGAAAATCCTGGAAAAACATGAGGCAAATATACTCATCGCTGAGTTCCTGCACTTTTGGCGATTATGAGTGAACTAAACTCAAATTTGGGCTGTTCTCATTCGCCGTGTAAACCATTTTTATACTAAGTAGTGTGTCCAGGCGGGTTCGTATTGGTGTGATTTGCGTGAGATGAAATTTTTTGTTAGCTGTGAGAATTTTTTTGTTTGCTGTAAGAACGGTCATTCTTAAGTAAAAATAAACAACAAAACGAAAACAAACCCTACGCTGCACGGTAACAGTCAAATACCCTTTTATGAGTAAAAGTTAACCCATTTATTTTTACACAGTATACGCTAGTGTGTGTAAAATTATATTATTAGTGTAATGTTCGTGAGATCCTGCTTGGAGAACTCAATGCGTCGGTAGGAGAGTTGTGATTTAGCGTAACTTTTAATCTATTTAGATTTGAAAATATTTTGAGTGTAAATATTATACCGGTTTTTTTTTTAGCGAGGATGATTAGTGAGATCTTGCGGCGAGAAGTCAACAAACTGTCATTGTCCCTCAAAGACACAAACAGTCATAACACTCGCTTCGCATCAGCTGTGTTTAAAAATCGCAAATTTTTGGTAGAATCTGTGAAATTTACATTTTTTGGTCAGCTCCTCCATAGTTGCCAGGATGGATGAAGTTTTGTATGGTAAGTTGATTAATACTAAGGTAAATGACGACTTCGGCAATTCCTTTTCCTATTCGCCTATAAAAGACGCCAATTAAAAAAAGCTTCATGCAGATTTAAAATTTTTGCACGGTTAAAGCTTTTCGAGATGAAGTAGTCTAATGGCTAATAATCTCGTATATTAACGGAATAAAAAATAGTATACTAAATGTACTAAAACTAATCATTGATAAATCCGATTACGCTCAAAATTGTATCGAATAATTGAACACCAAGCAGCCAAGATTTCAGAATGTTTCCTGAAAAGGAGCACTCAAGGACTTTATTTAACCCCCTGTCGATAATAGGTATTGCCGAAGCCGTCAATTATTACTGTATTTGCATAAATCGAAAATAATTTGACTCTTAATTACTAGTGAAACCTGAACCCGAGGATCCGGTGGAAAATTCTCTTTCAGAATTACAGGATCAGCAGAGCGGAGTGCTTCTTACGGCTAAGATGTGGCCTGAAAATGAACAGTTGGAGGATGTGATGGGTGAGGAGTTGATCGGAACGTGTGATGTAGAAGAACCCAAAGTGGAACCGATATCAGAAGACGAACTTGAAATGGGTTTGAATCCGGAAAACTGTCTAAATGAAATGCCGCTAACAGAGTGTAAAGAGGAAACAGAACTCGACAATCCGAAGGAGGAATCTGCTGAATCGAAAAAAAATCCCGAAAGGAAACCAGAAGGGAAGAAATTAAAACAAATACTGAAATACAAGATCGAAATAAAGGAGACCAAGCTTGATCCAAACAAATGCTACATCTGTAAAACAGACTTTGCGAATCTGAATGATGTGGAGGTCCACCTGTCTGAACACGTCCACATGGTACCTTATGACTGCGAGGAATGTAAGGCCACCCGCACGGAGGCGAAGACCATTTTTACGGTGATTATGCTCCATCACCACTTCCGGATGCACGCAGGTTCAATCAAGTGTCCGGAATGTGCCTTTCGGACATGCACGAGAAGCGGATTGTATAAACACATTAAATGGAGCCACATGGAAAACACAAATACCGTGTACACATGTGAGATTTGCGGGGCTAAAGTTAAAAATATAAAGATATTCGAACATCATTCAAAAATTCACAAAGCCATAGAAGAAGGATGGCACACGTGTTCTTTCTGTGCGAAAAAGTTTGCTACGAACGCACGACTGCAAAATCACGAACGGATCCATACCAACGAGAGGCCTTTCCAGTGCCGTTACTGTAGCAATGTAAGCTAGTATGTAGTCACAGGTGAAATCAGTTATAATTGTCCTTCGAATTTCTACAATTTCTAGGCGTTTACAAACAGACAAGTTTTTCGGAAACATGAGCGTTCTCATACCGGTGAACGGGGTTATATTTGTGAAGAGTGCGGGAAAGGCTTTTACACCAGAGCATCCCTGACCACGCATCTGCGGGCGATACACAAGATAGGAAGTGCAAATCAGGTCTCTTCAGGTTCAGACAACAAGAAGTATCTTCTTTCATCAACTCCGATTAAATGTTCGTACGAGGGTTGTGACTTCGAAACAAATGTTCGTGCAAGGCATCACCGACACAAAGCTAAGCATGATTTGAAGTTTAACTGCCCACATTGCGAACAGCGGTTTGCCACCAAGCAACGATTGAATCAGCACTCGAACGTCCATACCAAGTTAAAATCCTACTACTGCGATGTATGTGGGAAGAGCTTCCGGTATCGGGTTAGTAGCATACTTTGCCGTTCTTATTTGCTTAATTTTTATAAACTTTCTATGATTATTGCAGAAAAGCTTGGTGGAGCATATGACTGGTCACAACAACAGTCGACCGCATTCTTGCACAGTTTGCGGCAAGTCATTTGTTCGAGACCGTAATTTGAAGCAGCACATGTTAAAGCACTCGGATGAATTGACTTAAGCGTGCGTGTTATATACGTTGGGAGATAATCATTCTGTATAGGAAGGTAATTTTATGCTGTTTTGCAGGTGTCGTCACTGTGAAAATAAGTTCCAATATTATGCTGATTTTTGCAAGCACGAGAGGAACGTTGCGAAGTAGTGACCAAAGAGGAGATTGTGGTCGATTTTGAGTCTCAGGGTGAAATGGACGTGATCGTGAAGGATTACGACGAGGAAGGTGAGATGGTGAAATATCTAGATGATTGTGAAAATAACATCAATTCAATTATTGCCTGCTAAGGCAAAAACCGTAAGGTTTCGCGCTAGTCCATACTAGCAATCTTTGGTATTGGGGCTTATTACGGATGTCACTTCACGGTGAAAACTTGTCACTTGTCGTCACGGTGAAGTGATTACCATTTGATTTGTACGGCAATCACGGCTCTTATTATGAGTATCACTTCCTTATCACCGTGTAGTGACACCCGTAATAAGGCCCATTGTGTTTAGCGACAATATCGGCTTCATTGAGATGACATTCTTTACCCTTCCCATTGCTACTCTTGTTAGTTTGTTTTCCGCTTGTCGCACATTTTGGTAATGTAATGTTTATATTTTAGCAGCCAAATCTCAAAACAAGCAAGCAAGGTAAGTCTGACTATTCCCACGTCTGAGAATGAATTGTTTGTTATTTAATAATCAATTACGAAAAATACATTTCGTTGCTGATAAAAAAAAATCGCAATAACTTGGGAACGGCTAGACTTAGGAAAGAAGATTATTATTATATATTTTTTTAAAATGATCCGTATGATATTTTTTTGGTATTATTTTATTCAAAATTTAAAATTTAATTATGTTTATGTTCTAACAAAAATATTTAAAAAAAATATCAAACAAATTACCGGTTCACACTTTTTATCAGGGTTTAGGACAACTTCAACTTACTTCGCAAAAAATATTAGACAAATCGAAAGGGGAGGGGAGAGGCTCCGAGAAAATCAACGTTTTAAATTTTTAACATGAGTTTACTTAATCCTGATGAATGTGGGCGTCTAAGTGGAATACCTGTATAAAGAAAGAGAGAAGGATTATTAATTTCCATTTAATTCCACTACCTTATTTGATTATCCTTGACAGACTTATTTCGTCTACAAAGTGTAGACTTCTTCTTCAGTGTCTTGTACTAATAGTAGAATATTAGTACAACACACTGAAGAAGTCTGCACAATGTAGACGAAATACGCTTATCTGTCAAGGATAAGCAAATAAGGTAGTGGGAATTAAATGGAAATTACTAATCCTTATCTCTTTCTTTATATTTATGATGTTTACTGTTTTTTTCAGCGTATTTTTTTGATCAAAGAACATTTAATTACCTCCAACTTCTGCTAAGTCATTTTCAAGTTTTGAGTGTTTGGAAAAATATAGTCCATTTTTAGATATACGCCGTTTTAATAAGTTACTCTTGAGAAAAATAATCATATTTAAATGAAAAACGCAAACTTGGGTATAGTAAAGTTTAATTCAAATCGGAGACAATCATGTCCAACCGGTTTGCTAGGGGAAACGCTCCAATAGTTGCGGTACGTTAGAAGCGTTAGGTTCCTATAGTTGTGCATGGAGACTCAATACACAACTAGGTATAGGAACCTAACGCTTCTAACGTACCGCAACTATAGGAGCGTTTACCCTATTTGGCGTGGAAATGCTCATACAGGGTAAACGCACCAATAGTGAAGGTACGTTAGTGCAATGTGTACCTATAGTGGCTTTCTTGCCCTGGTGAAGGTCCCAACTCATGAATCAAAACGCCCTAATAAATAAATACTTTACCCAAATGATAGAACTATTCTACGAATAGTTTTGGATGATACTCTGAACAAGTCATTATCCAAAATAATCTTACACACGTTTATAAAAGTATAATCAACACTAGTTCTTAAAGACTCAAAAGCCAAAACAAAATGACAAATTTCTTCAAGAGTGGTAACCGATCGGACAAAAAATTTTATTAATAAAGAACGAAGAGGAATGAAGTTTCCCATGAAAATGCATACTTTTATGAATTTAAACCACTTTTTCTAAAAATTATTCTGAAAGAAATACGAGACCATATTTTGGTTAAAAATCTATAAAATTCTTTGCCAAACAAACTTCGAAATAATTAGGGGGAGGAGTGGGTTCTGAAAACGCGACGTAATTTTTAAGGGGGGGGGGCGATTTAATTTTAGACAAATTATGCGTGACGGAATTAATGAATGCTCCCTATGGCACAAGTGAAAGTGTAACGTTATAGCGTAACCGAAGACTCTCTGCACCGACACAAATGAGTAGAATGGCGTATACCGTGCTTCCAGTCAAAAACCAAAACCCAAACAACAACAACATAACAAAACACAAACAGTCCTTCCTTACGCTCAGCTGTGATAAAAAAATCATTGAAATTTACAGTTTTTGTTCAACTTCTCTATAGTGGTCAGGATGGATGAGGTTTTGAATGGTAAGTTGTTAGTTGAATAGTGCTAAGGTAAATGAGGGGTTCGGCAATGCCTTTACCTATTACCGTCAGGGGGTAACAAAGTTCATGACCTCACTATTTTTGCCAAACGATGCTAAAGGTATTTCCGAAGCCGTAATTTACCCTATTTGCATAAATCGAAAATAATTTGATTCCTAATCACTAGTAAAACGCGAACCCGACGATCCGGTAGGCTATCCTCGTTCAGAGTTACCGGATCAGCAGACCGAAGTGCTTTCTACGTCTGCGGTGTGGCCTGAGCATCGGGACATTCTACGGATGAGATTGATTAAAAAGGAGGAACAATTGGAGGACACGATCGGTGAGGAGTTGATCGGAACGTGTGATGTAGAAGAACCCAAAGTGGAACCGATATCAGAAGACGAACTTGAAATGGCTTTGAATTCGGACAAGTCTCTGCCGCTAACAGACTGTAAAGAAGAAATGTTAACTGCTGAATCGGAGAACAGTGACAAATGGGAACCGGAAGAGAAGCACAATAAACAGTTTACAACTGAAATCAACAAACAAGCTCAAGCGGTAAATTCTGAAAAACTTAAAAAAATACTAAACTACAAGGTGAAAATAAAGGAGACCAAGCTTGATCCGAACAAATGCTACATCTGTATGACAGTTTTTGCGAATCTGAACGATGTGGAGGTCCACCTGCCTAAACACGCCCACATGGTTCCTTATGACTGCGAGGAATGTAAGGCCACCCGCACGGAAGCGAAGACCATTTTTACGGTGATTATGCTCCATCGCCACTTCCGGATGCACGCAGGTTCAATCAAGTGTCCGGAATGTGCCTTCCGGACATGCACAGGAAACGGATTGTATAAACACATTAAAAGGAGCCACATGGAAAACACAAACACAGTGTACACATCTGAGGTTTGCGGGGCTAAAGTTAAAAATATAAGGGTATTTGAAAACCATTTGCGAATGCACAAAGCCATAGAAGAAGGACGATATACGTGTGAGTTTTGTGCGAAAAAGTTTGCCACAAAAACACGACTGAAACGTCACGAACGGATCCATACCAATGAGAGGCCTTACCAGTGTCATTATTGCAGCAAGGTGAGTTAATTTGAGTTGAAACAAATTCTAATTGTTCGCCGAATTTCTACAATTTCTAGTCGTTTATCAATGAAACAACTTTCCATGCACATGAGCGTTCTCACACCGGTGAGTTTCACTGCTCAGATTGTGATCAGCGGTTTCCCACAAGGCAACGATTGGATCTGCACTCGTACGTCCATACTGATTCCAAACCATACTGCTGCGATGTTTGCGGGAAGAATTTCCGGAGTAAGGTAAGTAGGAAGCTGTTTCGATCTCATTTTGTAATTTTCTAAATGTTTAAGATCATTGTAGAAAAATTTCGCCGAGCATATGGCTGCCCACAGTAACATTCGACCGTATTCTTGCACAGTTTGCGGCATGTCATTCGTTCGCGAATGGAATATGAAGCAGCACATGTTGAAGCACTCGGATGCACTGACTTATGTGTACGTGTGGGATTTTTCCGGGGAAATAATCATTCCGTATAAAAAGTGATTCATGTTTTTTTTTTTTTTCAGATGTCACTGTGGAAAGAAGTTCCGATATCGGGCAAGTTTATCCAAGCACGAGAAAATCCACATGACGGGAGAGGTTGGACGCTTAAGATGAGGTAGGGACTTAGGTTGAGTCTCAAAAGGTCCGGCTCCCTTCACTTCTCGCTAATATTTTGAGCGACAATAAATCAGCGCTATTTGCAAGCTTTGCATCTGCACATTGAACCCTCTCAAAAGCACTCAAACGAATCATGCACAATTTAAATGTGAAGTCACAAGGTTGCGCATTTTGGTAATCCAAATCAACAGTCTTTGATCTCATGGTGGGATGGATTGTGAACGTGGAGGAGTGTGATGAGAAAGATGAGACGGTGGAATATCTAGATGAATAAAGTAATATTGGTATTTGAAATGATACATTTTGTTTGCAAAATAACGCTGATTGATGCCGGTGGTTGACACAATTCGATCACAACCTTCAGTAATGCGGTTCATCAACACTTGCGGGTCAGAATATATCAGAATTACGCTGATTGAATTCTAGATCTTATTGAGATGACATCCTTGATGCACACGCAGAGCCTTACTCAGGATTTTTCTTAAGATGGCGAACTGTCCGTTTTGCCCTTCTTCTCCTGACTCTTTCACATTTACGATGCCCGCGTCACATTCCATAACGGTAGTCTTAAACAGAATGATACGTGCGTCAGATTTTCGGCTAGATTTAAAGATAAGCACTAGAAATGAGCTTTTTCCAAATTTTTGTCCAAGATATTTCACTTGGTTTGACCTAGCAATTAGAACTCCGACTATGTGACTACAACACAGGGAAAATGGCTCTAATGTTGGCCTATGGATCTAAGATTGGGTCCATCGCTTTTCTGTTATTTATCAATTTTATCTAAATGAACGCCTTAGGGGCCTTATAGCCTAATCAGTAAAGGCACGGTATTACCAAGCCGGAGGCGGGGCGGGTTCGAATCCCGATCCGGTCGAGGAAATCTTTCGGGTTGGAAATTTTCTCGACTTCCGAGAATATCATTGTGCTTGCATCGAAAGCTCTCAATTAATAACTGTGGAAGTGCGTTTAGAACACTAAGTTGAGAGCACGCAATAAGCTAATATGCGCTAAGCAATAAGCTTGAAATGCGAACAAGAAGAAGAAGATCTAGATGAACGCGTCATTGGGACGGTACTAATGGATATTTTTGAAAATTTAGTCGATTGCTGAATTTATGTATGGGCCCAAATTAGGGGCATTTAGGCCGACATTACATCTATTTCCCCAGATCTCGGCAAAATTCCCGTTTGTTAGCTGATCCAGCAAAATAAAATGCCGATGCTCGGTGGTACCCATCTCGGCAAAAACTACAAGGGACAGCCCTATGGGGTTGTACGCAATGGTGACGTAGGACTACGTGGACTTATATAATAAATCTTATTTGTTAACTGCAGCAGGAGTTTGTGTTTTGTGTAGGAATTGGAATTTGAGCTGGGTTCTCTCTGTTTATACTCTTTAGTATGACACGCTTGACATAGATGGCCCACAATGACTCAGGAAGAGCTACTGATTCCGATCAATAGCGGTGCGGCTTCTTCCTCCTTCTATGGATGCTCATGTTGGCTGCAGTTCGCTGCTTACAGGCAACCTTTCGTTGTGTACTCCACTCACTTCCACTCACTTCGGAAAGGTGATAGTTGCCCCTATCCGATGATGTTGTTGGTTTGTGTGGGCGTACTTAGATTCGCTCGTAAAGGGCCTTAGAAAGTTTGTTTACAAATGCTTTTGTGCCGTTATCAAATGTTATGCCTGACATAAGCGTTTCTTGTTGTGTTTGTCGTATTAGATGCTAGATAATTCTTTTATCGATCTGTGTGTTGAAAATACCTGGGAATGTCTTTGCATGGCCGTGAGGTTACAAAGAGAAAGTCGACGAAGATAATCTGTCAATGTTACTTAGGACCTAATGCAATGTTCAGCTTGAAATGTTTAACCATTTTTGCCTGTAAAGTAGAAGAACGTTGCTAAAAATCTAAACAATTTTCTACAAAATTATATACAGCAGCGCCGGTGGTGTAGTGGTAAGCGTGATTACCTCTCACCCCCGCAGACCTGGGTTCAATCCCAGTCGACGCCGCCGGGATGTTCTGAGGCATAACATCTCTGATCACGTCTTCTTTCGGAAGGGAAGTAAAGCCGTTGGTCCCCGGTTCATGAGTTGATGGGTCGATAGGTAGGAACCAGGTGTGGAAGCTGCCTTCCTGGCGTCGGTAGCATTGGTGCTCAGCACGGAAAACAAGATCGACGGAAAACAAATCAAGGAAAAAAAAACTCAAATTGTGTGTAATTTTATTTTTCTGAGCAGGTTCAATAACTTTTACATGGCCGATGAGACTAACTGAGAAGGTTAGAAGGAAAAAGGTGTAGGTAACTTTGATCAATTCTCTTCATCGACTTTCTCTTTTGATAACTACAGCTTTATAAACAGATTTTGCGTTATTTCTGCCACATAGTTTGATAAAGGAGGTTCTCATCTAGCATCCAGAATGGCTCACGAATATGTTTACAGCTGAATTATTAACGAAAGAGAAAGTCAATGAAGAGAATCGATCAAAGTCACTTACACCCAGTGTTCCGAAAAACTTAAAAACTCAAATCTCATGCATGAGTTTATGCACCTATGAGTTTTGCCTTGCAAAAATCACCGATGCGTTTTCAGGTTCAAAAATTCATTGCTTTATATTTTGGCGTTATTAATTGTTATTACTATTGTTTGTGCATCAGGTGTTCGGGAAACTAACCCAACATGCATAGGCATGATATCAATTGACGTATGAGTGGTTTTTATGAGTTTAAAGCTGGAATGATTTTTCGGCGTTTGTGAGTGTGAGTGCGTGAATATGCATGAGAATCTCAAGCGTGAATTTTGTTTGCCACAGTCGCATGCGAGTTTATTCTCGCAGGGAGGCTCAAAGAAGGAGATTTGAGAATGATTTTCCGAACACTGCTTACACCCTTTTCCTTCTAACCCCCTCAACTCAGAGAGAGAGTCACTTTTACTCACATGAAAGAGAAATTTCTAAAACCTGGCTTTACTCAGCGCTCTTTTTTTTATCTTTATTAAAGAGATTTTCGAATTATTAAGCGCTGAGTAACCCCAGTGTTTAGAATTTTCACTTTCATCTGAGAAGAAGTTACTGTTTCTCGGAGTTAGTCTCATCGGCCGTGTAGAGCACAATCAAGGCTATGCTACCGAAAAAGATTAAGTCCAAGTGGTGTAGTGGTAAGCGTGACTGCTTTCTAACACCCCGATGGGTCTGGGTTCAATCCCAGCCGAGGTCGGTGGGATTTTTCTGAGGCATAAAAATCTCTGGTCACGTCTTCCTTCGGAAGGGAAGTAAAGCCATTCGTCCCGGCCCATGTGTATGTGTGTTGAATGGGTGCGATATCCTACGCAGGTGTGGAAGCTGCCTTTCTGCACATTTGATTGCCGTCAATGGATGGCAATCGATGTCCGTCGGTGATTGGCACTAGATTGCGGAACAGAGACCGACGTTAAATAAAGGAAAGAAGTGAAAAAGCTACCTGAACCAAACGTGTTATTAGCTTGCGTGGGCGGACTTTGCGCGAAAAGGGTTATAGAGCACACTAAATAACGAATCGATTCTCCAATTTGCTTGATATTTTGCATTTTTTAAAAAAATAGCTAATTTTAGCGCAACACGTGAAAAGAGCTTATCATTGTTGATCGATTCTCTTCATTGATTTGCTTATAACCTGACTGCAAATGAATTTCTAATTCAGTGTGTTGTTTCAGGTGCAAGCTAACATCATCTTCTGTCGAGCTGTGCAGCGAGCTTAGCGAGAAATTCGTTTATGTTGCCGTGGTAAACCAAAGAGAATTGATCAACGAGAATAGGCCCTTTTCAAATGTTACGCGAGAATTTACTTATTTTTTTAATTACCGTGTGTATTTACTTTACTTTTCATGACAACTTTGTCTCAGACGTCATTTCGATCAGAAGTGACGTTTTTGTGCTACAATTTATTGAAAAATGTCAGACGCCATTTTGAAAAAAAATAATAATATAAGATTCAAAATGGACGATTTAAAAAAAATGTGAATGGTTGCCCACACAGAAAAAATAAATTTGAATTTTGAATATCTCATAAAATCTCCCTTTGTTTAACGCTGAGCTATAGTTGTCTGTGGTTGGCATAAACAACGAAATCATAGAGTTAACTCTAAGACAAGAAGGTCCCGAAGAAACGTGCTCAACTTTTTGGCTCAGTTCTGGTACTCTCTTCGGTCCCAAGCTAATCAATGCACCCCTCGAAACATGAGAAAATCCACGAACCCTTCATTTTATCTGTCAAACTTTCATAGCGAATCAAAACAAACATAGCGTAGTACTAGAATTTCGACTAGAATGGGGGACGTTAATCGATGTGCTTGGGACCAATAGGCTAGTCAAGTAGTGAGCCAAGTTAAAATCGTTAGTTTCTACCGGTTGCTATTTCCAACATTCAATATGAAACTATCGATTTTAAATTGGCTCACTACTTGACTAGCCTATTGGTTCCAAGCAAATCGTTAACGTACTCCATTCTAGACGAAATTCTAGTACTACACTATGTTTGTTTTGTTTTGCTATGAAAGTTTGACAGACAAAATGAGGGGTTCGTGGGTTTTCCTATGTTTTGAGGGGAGCATCGATTAGCTTGGGACCGAAGATAGTACCAGAGCTGAGCCAAAAAGTTGAACACGTTTCTTCTGGACCTACTAGCAACAATCAATACGAAACTAACGATTTTAAATTGGCTCACTACTTGACTAGCCTATTGGTCCCAAGCAAACGATTAACGTACCCTATTCTAGTCGAAATTCTAGTACTACGCAATGTTTGTTTTGATTCGCTATGAAAGTTTGACAGATAAAATGAGGGGTTATTGGTTTTTCCTATGTTTCGAGGGGTGAATCGATTAGCTTGTAACCGAAGAGAGTACCAGAGCTGAGCTAAAATGTTGAGCACGTTATTTCCTGACCTTCTAGTCTTAGAGTCACCTCTATGCAACTAGTCTTAGAGTTATCTCTATGATAATACGCTTAAAATTACACAAAATATTGCGTAAATTTACGCCAAATTTAGCTTTAACTTTATGTGCCCTATATCTCACAGAAATTTACATGAATTGTTCAAACGGGGCATAACAAACAATTATGCAAAGTTTCATCATAGAGGTAACTCTAAGACCAGATGGTCCTGAAGAAACGTGCTCAACTTTTTGGCTCAGCTCTGGTACTCTTTTCCGTCCCAAGCTAATCGATGCTTCTCTCAAAACATAGGAAAATCCACGTACCCCTCATTTTATCTGTCAAACTTTCATAGCGAATCAAACCAAACATAGTGTAGTACTAGAATTTCGACTAGAATGGGGTACGTTAATCGATTTGCTTGCGACCAATATGCTTTCCTTCGGAATTGAACTAAAGCCGTTGGTCTCCGGTTCATGAGTTGATGGGTCGATAGGTAGGGCCCAGGTGTGGGAGCTGCCTTCCTGGCGTCGGTAGCATTGGCGTTGACGGCGACTCTGTAGCTCTTTACTCCTATGAGAAAATCCATAAGCAAACGTCAGACTGTGCGTGAAACATAACGGACTTTGTACTATCCTTTCACTCCACCGAAAATTCCCATAAGCAACTGTCTAAATTTGCTGGAAGAGCAAATTTTTCGACGGTGCCGTCAATGCCAATTGGTGCTCAGCACGGAAAACAAATCAAGGAAAAAAATAGGCTAGTCAAGTAGTGAGCCAATTTAAAATTGTTAGTTTCCACCGGTTGGTTTCATGCAAATCGGAGAAGGCCGATACAAGTTTCGTTTACAAAAGCTGGTAGGCCCTTTTGAAATATTACGCAAGACCTATGAAAACTGAGTTGATGACGTCATCATGCCATGATCTATAGCTGAGAAACTTAGGCGAAGAATACGACGTCACCCCGAGGAGTTATTGATTTTGTCCAGTTAGATTGAATATCTGGCCCATTGTGCTGTGAATGAGCGAAAAATCTTCTCTATTTTGATAATCACTCATTTGATTTAAGTATCTGTTGCTTCACGCTCCGTTTGTTACGTTCGAACACGTGGTCGTTAAAATTGTTTTCAATCAATCAAGATTGTGATTGTTTGAAATAACATGGTTTGTTCTCTTAACAGCCTCATTAGAACCCTTAAGAGAATAGTAATTCGTCATCCATCCCGGATAGTTCCGCGTTGATCACTGACAACTCACTGGTTTGTCGCACTGCTATTCCCGCGTGAGAGCACCAGAAACCACCACTTGAGGCTTGGTTCCGATTTGAACTCAACAAAAAGTCATCATCATCGGCAGTATACCTTACAACACTAGGTATTTAGTTCTGCAGAGCATCATCGCGTGAATGGATTGGGTTGGGATTGGATTGCGTATGGTGTGGGGGGGGGTAAGGGCAACTGATACTGAGCTGAGGCAGGGTGGCGGCAGCTCAAGCAAACCATCATCATCAGCGCCCCAAAGTCAGAGCAGGGCAATACACACAACAACCGAGCGCAAGCAGAAGCAGGGACTCGTTCTTTATTCTTCTTTTTCATCTTTGCCTTCGTCGTCATCGTCGTTGTTGCCTTCATCGCGCGTCGTGTTCCTTTGCCTTTGCTTTGCTTGGTTAGACGCGGTCACAAATTACGTAACTGAAAAATTCTGGATTTTAAAGTCCCTCCTTCTTTGTAACAATAAAAAACGCTTGCAACGCTCTAATCCCCTAAAATTAAATGCTATCACACTCGTAGCGGCAGCCCCTCATAACCCCCGAATAACCCGAATGCAAATCAAGAACAACATGTGAAAAGGGCATACAAGCTTTTTGTGAACAAACATTTTTATGCCCTTTTCACGCCACCCATGTGACATCAACACATCAAGGGAAACTTTCTCCTTCCCGATGATGTTGTTGGTTTGCGTGGGCGACCCTCGGTTGGCGAGAAAAAGGCCTAATTATGTTTGTTTACAAAAAGTTTCTATGCCCTTTTAACTCGTGGCTCTTGAAATAAATTTCCAATCAGTGTGTTGTTTCAGGCGCAAGCCTTTTCAAATGTTACGCGAGAATTAAAGGGTGCTCATATAGAATTTGTTGAACACAAACCCCTACAGTAAAAGCGACAATCCACACGAAACTATCGATTTTAAATTGGCTCACTACTTGACTAGCCTATTGGTCCCAAGCAAATCGTCTAACTTACCCCATTATAGTATAAATTCCAGCACTAAACTATGTTTGTTTTGATTCGCTATGAAAGTTTGATAGATAAAATGAGGGGTTAGTGGATTTCCCTATGTTTTGAGGGGTGCATCGATTAGCTTGGGACCTGAGATAGTACCAGAGCTGAGCCAAAAAGTTGAGCAAATTTCTTCGGGACCTTCTGGTCTTAGAGTTACCTCTATGGTAAAAGTATGGACGTCTGTCAAAAGTTGTTCCAATCGAACCTTCTAAATGCACCGCTTTGCTCGATTGGAACTTCTTTTTTCAGCTCATACTTTAACTAGAGGGCTTTACCATACACTGGTGCGTAACGCCATTCGCGACTACGAAAATTGGCATTTTTACGCAAAGATTGACACTTGATTACGGGAATTTTCGGTGGAGTGGCCGAATAAGAAAAAAACCGCCAAATTTCACGCATCCACTGACGTTTGCTTATGGGATTTCCCCATAGAAGTAAATAATTACAGAAGTTTCGTAGACGCGAATTGGGCACCTCTGTAAGGTTAGTAGTTAAATTTATTCTAAAACGCTGTCCAGACTGGAGAGTTATAACATGTTATAACGGTTGTCAACTAATTGCAACACAGAAACCACCATCAAGATAGCGCTATAACATGTTATAACTCTGTAGTCTGAACGTACTATAAACGAGCTACGGTTAATTGAGATTTTAGCTATTCAAACTAACGCCATTTAGAATCATAAGGGCCTAACTGCGATGAATAATTCTTTTCATAGATTTTAATTTGGCATTACAATACTGCCGTTCTACGCATAAAAGTCCCACGGTGCATAAGGATTGCATAGAACATTGGACAGTTATGCATATAACGGCAGAATAGCTAAGTGAAATAAAATCTCAAAAATTGTTCCAGTACAGTCTACTAAAAGGCTAGCAAAAGCAACACAAAACGCACCGAAAAATGTTAAACCTACCGAATTATCAACAAAAGAGAAAACCGATTAAGAGATCATCGCAATTAGGCCATATGATTATGAATGCTACCCTAATAAAACATAACCATAAACGAACGATAACCCAAATCATTGAACTATTCCACAAATGGTTTGGATGATACCCAGAACACGTCGTTAAGCAAATTAACCATACAATTTTTATTAGGGTAGGTATATAACATAAAAGCATAATACCGTAGAACCCCGTTAGTTTGAATAACTAAAATCGTTTTTGATTTTTGTGTTATCACTGTTTAATCTGTTACCATTACACCACCCCCCTCCCACCCTTCCCCATTTTGTACAATATGTAATGCAAGTTCAAACCCGCCCTCCCCCTCCATGCGTTACGTAATTTGTGCACGAAGCCTTACCGTCGTCGTCGTCGTCGTCGTCCGTGGCCTCTCTGCTGGTTGCTCAGCTCTGTTGCTTGCTGCCGTCACCCGTCGCCACTGACTGTGTTGAATTCACATTCATTTCGTGCGATGTGAAAAATAAAAATGGCTGTAAATATCTTGATATCTGAGCGCTATCGGTGAAAAATAATAGTTTGACAGTGTTTTTGAGCAAATTCTAGCCCGAAACTTGGTGCCGTAGGTGGACATTTGTGCCGCGGACACCGGAGTGGTGGAATTTGGCCATTTTGACCCGTGGAAAGTGGACTTTTGTCAAGTTGAATGATTTACTACGGTGGTGTCTTTTATTGACGCGGATTTTTTTTCTTCTCAAGTGAAGTGATAGTTATTCAACAAATTACAAACTAAAGGTAATGTGTAGTGCTTTTGGGCCGAGGCATTAGTGATCGGGTGAGGTGTGTTTTGAAGATTTAGTGCGATTGTGAGTGCCTGCCAGACGTCAACATCAAAAGACGCCGCCGACGATAGTCAGTCAGTGTCGCGAAATTCCAGGGCCGAACCATTCAGGCTGAAGGTGAGCTTCTTGAGAAACCGATTCTTTTTTTTTATGGTCATCGTTTCACATTTTGGTTCTTTGGTTGGAAAATGAGCCTTTGTCTCCGTGGGGTCGGTTGGATACTCTCGCTCGCTGCTGGCTGGCTGGACAACGCAGCAGCATAGGCTTCCTTGATTGGGTTCGCGTAATTTGCTCTTTCTCCCTCACTGGCTATAAGTGGTTTGGTTGGTGTGAGTCGTGGGATGGATGGATATATAAGGGACTTGAGGGGCTACGACGGTGAGGTGTTTCCAGTTTTCTGAGAAAATCAATAAAATCAAGATTCGTGTAATTCGTAATGATCGCGTTAAATTGAAGTCGATATACACGGGATAGGAAAATAGATGACAGGAATGACGTTGGGGGAGGCAGTGGCTGCTTGTGCATCATCGAGTGAGAGAACGAAGAGCATAAAAATGTACAAGCGTGAGAGAAAGAGAAATATAAATAAATCATTCATTTTAATGATTTTAATACTCCCAGTGCAATGTGTAGACAGATGGGGAGTAAATCGGATTTAAATGTGTTGTGGGGGTAATTGCTACCCGATGGAGATAAATGTGACAATTATCGAAACATTCCTGTAGCAAATGTTCCGCTTAATATTGTAATTTTAATTTTTATGAATGTATATTCCACGCTGAAGCAACTACAGTGTGGCGTAAAATTACGTGGACGGCATCTTCTGAAAGAAGTATGTATGTGCAGTTGACTCTGCTTGATGGAGATCCAGGCTGCCTTAGACCATTTTTTCAATACACATTTCCAAAATTCATCTCCTTAACTCGATGATCCTTTGAATATCGAGTTTAAGGGAGAGAGACAACTGAGATATATTTGGAAATATCATCGTATAATTAAAAATATCAACAAAAACATTGAAGTATTTAAAAAAATTAATACATTTAAAAGATAAAACTTTTTGTGCAGAGTTAAACGAGGCTATCACTTAGCAATTTTTGAATGTTACTTTAAAAATATTGTTAGTTAGTTAATAAAAAAGGAAATAATTCCGAAATCAAAATTACGATGGAATTCCATTCAGTTTTCCCATATTACAGGGCTGGTAGCAGGTCACTTTTTAGTGACTTGGTCACTATTTTGAAGCCAGTCACTAAAAAGTTACTTTTTACATCAAACCGTCACTAAAGTCACTTTTTCACTACTAAAATAGAGTGAAATTTTAAAATATCAACCAAATGCTTAAATTTAGTACTTGGCACTAAGAAAGTCAACAGTAGTTTTAACAAAACATATATATCTGTTAAAAAATTGAAAATTTTAACCAGGGTGACCAGTAAACCGCAAAACTTTAGAAGACCAAGAAAACTATTGGGAAATGCCTTCAATTTTGATTAAAAATCGGGGGATATAAACCTTCTTTTCACAGAAAATAAATTGTAGACTTTTCAATGGTATTTGTCTGTGATAGATTTTCAAAAGTCTTTCAAGGATGGTTAAGAACTTTGAAAAATCCAAAGTAAATTTGAAGATAAATTTAAAAGATTCTAGGGATTACACCAAGATATATCAGAGAAGAAGTACAAAGTACAGACCACGAAAGTCTCATGTAAATTTAAGTGCTGTGAGGACCGATTTCTTCATCTCCGCTTAAATCTAAAGCCAGGTTTACTTATAAAGATAAACTTGGCTTAACAAATACGAGCGTCGCGAAATTCAGCTCCGAAACTATTTTGGAAATAATTCCAATGTAATTGAGAGTGCATTTTAACGAGAGTTCTGAGAAGAATTCGATGATGATTAGATGAGGATTCTAGGTCCAATTCTAATAACAATTCAAAATTAGTTCTGAAATTTTGCTTAAGGGAGCTCTGATGTAAATTCCATGATAATTGCGGATAGTTCTAGAAAAATTCTGGGGTGATTTCTGAAGATACTGCCAAGAGAATTCTAATAGTTCAAAATAAATTCCGAGAAGAATTCCAATAGAATCTAATTTTGAGGGTTCAATCTCAAAGCATTCTGAGAAGAGTTTCGAAGTTATTCTGTGATGGATTTTTTTTTTGAGAATTCTGAGGAAATACTATGGGAATTCCAAGGAGAATACGAATTGAATTTCCAATGGAATGCAGGGGAGAAGTTCAAGATTATTCGAAGCAGAAATTTATGAAATTTCTGAGGTTAATTGCATGAAAATTCTAAGGAGAATTCAAATAAATTTAAAATGGATTTATGGAAGAAGCCTTCAGGAAGTTCCTAGAAGAATCAATAAAAAATCGAAAATAATCTACTTTAACTAATCATGTGTCTCTTTAACGATTTACATAGTCGGAGATGATTAACGTCAAATATCGGACTTAAAGTGGAAATTTTATACGATCGATGAGGAGATTAAATTATAGAGTTGATAGTTCCAAGTAGAGTAGAAAGCGAGCAAAGGACAATTTTGAGGAAGGTACGAATCGGGTAGTTGTTTACGTCAGATGGCGACTTGAGTGTGAAACAATCGATAAAAATGTTTCCGCACATCGGAGGTACGTGAGCAAATCGGCGATCATTCCTTTTACCGGTGGCAGGGAGAAACACCCCTCACCATCCCTCATTAACGGATGAGCTTGGTAAAGGAGATGCTCTACTCGATTCGTACCTTCCTCAAAATAGTCCTTTGTTCGCTTTCTACTTTCTACATACAAATTTCACACTGCTACACTATAACGGAACTATCAACTCTTATTTTCATCTCCTCATCTAACGTACAAAATGTCCACTTTAATTCTGATATTTGGTGTTAAGCATTTTCAACTATGAAAATAATCTCTTTCCAAGAATGTTGTTGATTGTTCTGCAGAGAATTTAAAGAATGCAATATTATTTTTGTAAAAGCTTATATACCTCAAAGTTTAAGAGAAGGGGAATTATTCTAAAAAAGTTCTTGAGATCATTCTGAAGAAATTCTGTGAAAAGTTCTCAGCGAATTATCAAAGTTTTCTACCTAGATATATCAAAATTTTAAAGATTTCGAACGCAGAATCAAATTCAAGATCAGTAAAAAATGGGAATTACTATTTGCTAGTCATCATGTATAACGTAAGCAAAAGTAAATTATACAAATCACTTCAAATGCTCTTCACAGGAGATTCCGTTGTGAGATTCGATTAAATTAGAGGAATTTATGAAATTTGACTTTAAGTTCCATGACATAAAAAGTTTATTTCAATATCAAACCGTATTTGAATTTCTAATTTACCATATAAATGGTTACTTATTTAGTATTTACAAGTCACTATTTGGTCACTACTTCCGTAATTTTAGTCACTAAAGTCACTACTATTATATCGCATCAGCACTACCAGCCCTGATATTATTGATTCAAGAACATAACTTGGATGTCTGCTCAGAATTATCATGCTTAATTGCTTACCTTAGAATTCTCTTGAAACTCTGCTAAAACAGGGTGTCGACCATGCTTGGCATACACAGTTTTGGTCACGAACTGCTCATTTGCTAATAACTTTGCACACAGTTGACGGAACATAGTTCTTTTTGAAGCAGTAGATATAATAGAGTGTAAGCTTGTTATAGATATGTTAAAAAAAGTAGATTTTAATGCTAGTAGTAAACTGTGTTTGTTTTTGCGTTGTAAAAATGAGGTGAGAAATGCTCACTATTCATCTCGGAATTTAAGTGCTAAATTGATTAGTGTTGATTCAAATGTTAAGCTTTACCTAATCTTCGCATATCTATAGTAAACTATGAGCCTAATCTATCAATTACTTTAAAGAAAAATAAATTTCATAACTGAACAGTCTCAAATACCCATGTTAAATTATTATTTCATTACAATACAGAAGAACCTTATAGTAACTAAAATCAAACACGTCATCAATAAGTAGCTTTTGGTTTTATATATAATTAATCTACTGATTGGTTTAAGTTAAATTTGAATCCACAACTCTAAAATTTCACCTTTCACCAAGTTCATGTACCTGATGAGTTTAAATTTTTGTTCTTGTCAATGTTCATAAAATTTAACCCTTTGATCATTTTAGAGATGAACGAGCCTAAGGCTAAAAATCTCTTTAATAAAGAATTAAAAAAAAACCTTGGATCATTTTCAATGTCCTAGAGCCCTAGAGCTGTAGGTAATTCTGAGTAGAATTCCAAGGCAACCTTGCATAGGATTCAATCAAAATTTTAATGAAAATTCATAACAGCTTTTGATTCTAATTATTAAGGAATTATGTGAAAATCTGAACGAGAAGGAGGATTACACAATGATCATTCTGAGGAGAACTTCAAGATAATACAAAAGAGGACATTCTGAGGATAATTTAAAGAAGATTCTGGGACAAAAAGAATCCGAAGCATATTTCCATGTGAGTTTTCGGAATCATAAGATTACAATTGAATATGAGTATAATTCGATCAAAAATTTCAAGAGGGTACTGACAAATTTTGTGGAGAAATCTAAGCAAAACTAAAGTAAAGTATCTGCAGACATTGGTAATCCTTACACTGATGGTGGGTTCCATTCACATCACATCACATCAAATCAAAGCAAAACTGCAAGTAATTTTTCAGGTGAGAATTTCATAGTTGTGAGTTGAATACCAAGGAAAGGAGCAAAATTCAACGGTAATTCCAACATATATTCAATTACAATTTTAAGAATACTTCCAACGGATTTATTAGGAATATCCTTAGAAAATTCTGAGCTAAATTTCAAGTGGATTTCGAGGAGTATTCTAAGGATATTCCGGTGTTATTTTTTCAGATAATTCAAAGGAGAATCTCAGTAGCATTTCGATTTTTTTTGGGATTTCCTAGCAGAACTAAAAAAATATTCCTATGATA